CTAATCACTATTCTTGTGCTGGACAAGACTGATGTGCGCTTGATGACACCGGTACGTAGACTGCGTATGTATGCTCTGTATTTACATGCCATCTCCATTGACGGCTTCGAGCAAGAGTCAACTACCATCCAGATAAAGACTTCTACTTGCTACCTTCATGCTACATGTACCCGTGTATGGTGTTACTTCTATCATGCAGCTTAGATCCTGTGTGTGTGAATTCCCACCACCAGCACATACAGAGGCCATATCCATATCCAGGCCATATCCACCTTCACCGGAACCTCACCAGTGCCTGTCTGCGCTTGCGACTCATAACATCACCCAAAGCACGTCAGTATGCAGGTACTACCATAGAACCATAATACAATTAATAATCATTATTCATCGTATAGAGCAAGCATTATCACAGAACCCTTACGTCCTTGCTGGAAACACAGGAATTGCTCAATGTCGACTTCCTCCAAACCAAGGAGAGGTGACAGCGTTCTGAGCAGAGGTCTATTGAGTACGGTCGAGCCTTCATTGAACTTCTCAAACTTCAGCTGACCCTGCACAGCACGTGTACCAAAGAATGCACAAAGTGTTAGTAGTGCACATGTACTTGAAACCACATGTACATTCGTATGCAGAAAGGCCTAATACGAAGCAACAGATTAGCGTGCCATTGATTACAATGTGTAGGCGTGTGTGCGTGTAAGGAGGCGGAGGTTGGTGCCCGCTTGCGCACGCGGGCACCCACATACTCATGCACGGCACATACACTAACCAAAGCGGTACCAGGCTGAATTCATGCAATACGTACAGCATATTATACATGTAGGGAATTGGGATTATCTCGCCCAAACACACCCACTGTTCCGCAGAGCTAGTAGTACTTACCAAGTGCAGAATGGCTGCTAGTAGCTGCCACAGAGCGCTGACATGTGCCTCACCCAGACCAATTGCTCTTAGTCCGTCCAGGACAAATGCAAAGTCAGATTTGTCCGTGGCACCAGCAGTCTGAAAGAAAAAAACAGCACAGCGAAGTATTGCCTGCCTTTCATTACATAGCCAAGGACAGGTAAAGTGCATGTCCACCAGGTACACAGGACATCTATGGAAGGAAAATAGACCTCGTCAGAGAGCTATTCTCCTTCACAGTTTCATGGAAAGACCAGCATGTTGACCAGTACAAGCGCCAAGTGAAGACGTTGTGTGCTTTACAGCTGATGCACGCACTGCAGCAGGGAGCTGAGCACCACACACAGTCAACGCACTGCAAGGAACTAACTTGAGTATCAGACACGCAGTAAATGTGCACTGCTACTTACCGATGGGCCACCGCTCCGTGCTAGATACTGGTAGTTGGAAGCATCCGACTTCAAGAAAAGACTTCTCAGCAGCTGGCCAGGAGCACCTTTCAAGAGCTGCAAAGGAATACATCATCATACACGCAGACACTTATTGCATAAACTGTGGGAGTTTGCAAAAAAATACTGTAAGTTCGATAGCGAATGCCAGCAAAATCGCCAAGGTAACTTGGTAACGACATGAAACAGTGATCCATGCATGCACCGGTAAGATAGTGAGTGCATGGGCGGGTGGTGTTCACAAGCACATTCGACTCAAACACAATGCCGAGCCCATGATCAACATAAAACTAGGCCGAGTCCACTGCAACTCAGGCTCCGCTCCCCATGTCAGTTTGCATCACACAATCGACCCATAGCATAGCTGAGTGCAGCCACAGTGACCCAGTGTCATACACCAGCGGTAACAATCAAAATGACCATACTAGGAACAGTAGGTTTTGAATCTCAAGTTTAATCATACCAACACTTGCTGCGGCCACAGTGAAGAAATGCGCACAAACCTCCAGCTATGCACACAAAGACCGGGTCCAGAAGCAAACAGTCTCAAGGGCCTAGCACATGTTTAGGATGGAACGGGTATGGTTGTTTGCACAGTTTCTGTAGCTAGGTTAAAACCTAGTTACTAGAACTTTGTGTCCATCAGAAATGTGTGCATCTGACATCACATTGACACTGTGAATGTGGTCCATATCTCGGAGAAGCCTCGAGGCTCTTACCTGGTAGAATATGTGAAAGTTCCGCTCTCCAACTTTCCGCTGTGTCACACGGTTCTGTGCAAAACACAAACACATCCCCATACATACACACATACATGCACACACACACACACACGTACGCCCACACCCACACACACACACACACACACACATGAACAGGCAGAGCATCAGGATACGGCACTGCGGTGCTCTACGGGGCAGTGTTCCACATAACGGCCATGTCAAGGCCATGTGTGACACAAATTAGTGTTCCGGACCCATGGGATGCATGTACATACGTGTGGTACGGCTCCAGATGTGGTGGTTGAGAGGTGAGATGGAATTAGCAGTAAATACACATACCGTCAATCTCGCGAATAGCAACCACAGAGATAACAACAGCTTGCGAATAGCAACACTATCTTCAGACTTCGAAATGGTAGCCATTAGTCTCAATAAGTTCAACCTCTAACACGGATAGGGACAATTTGCAAATAACAACACTTCTCTCATGCCCAATGAAGGGTTGATAATCACAAGGTTGGTTCAGTTCATAGAGTTGATTGACAAACACAGTGCCATTAGTTTGACAGCTCCATCACTGGCAGTATCAGGGGCATAGGCCGGTGAGCATTTCAAGTGGTTCCCAGCAGCTATCTTGATTCTACATGCTTGGTGTCAAAGTAGTACCCATCAAGCCGGTTCCGAGACAGGTACATGTGCTGCCCCAAAAAGGGGTATTATTGCCCCAGAACCGGCTTTATGGATACTATTTATAAACCCTGCACAATACTGTGGTAAGATATTGTTCTAGTTGGTGACAAAGTTGATGGCATCGCCTGGCTAGTCCTGGGCATGCCATCAACCAGTCGGCCTGTACTCCCTGTCCGTGAGTGCCCTGAGTGCCCTGCACTCAATGACTACCAGTACACGTCTGCAGTATGGCTCACCCTCTCCAGCATGTAGTGGATAACCTTTGCGCCGATCAGATGGCCGCGGAAGTCAAACACCGTCCCTATCGTCTTGCCAAAGCGACTGGAGTTGTCGTTTCTCGTCGTCGCTGCATTTCCAAACGCGTCTAGCAGTGGCCCAATTACAACAAGAAGATTTCCTAACCTGAAGCGGAGGAACATGAATGCAGAATATCCAGAACACACACATACACATCAGAAGGGTGATGGAGCTTTCACAGACACATCCGGGAAATTTACCCACAATATAACACACAACATCACTGCATTGTTCCTGACAGGCATGTGAGCGACGTGCTAACCAGCCGCACATAGCACAGCACGTACCGCTTATCGTCACCATCGGCACGACAAACCGGACTGAAAGAAGCTAAGTAACCTAAACACGCCTTGCAGCATACTGTCTTCCCAGCACCGCTTTCACCTGCAACACAAACACATCATGTACACACACATACATAAGTATGCACACGCATACACACACAAACACACACACACACACACACGCGCGCGCGCGCGCGCGAACATTCATCAAAGGGAAAGGAGACCATTGGAGAAAGAGAGTGTGTACATATGTGTGTGTGTGTGTGTGCGTGTGTTTGTGTGTCTGCGTGTGCGCGTGTGTGTTTGAGTGTATGTGTGTATATAATTATGTATGTGTGTGTGTGTGTGTGTGTGTTTGTGTGTGTGTGTGTGCATGCGCGCGCGTACGTGCTCGCACATGTGTGAGAAACAGAGAGAGGGGAAGACAGAGTCAGACGGAGAGATGGATGGATGGATGGAGGGAGAGAGAGAGAGGGAGAGAGAGAGAGAGAGAGAGAGAGAGAGAGAGAGAGAGAGAGAGAGAGAGAGAGAGAGAGAGAGAGAGAGAGAGAGAGAGAGAGAGAAGAGGGAGAGAATAAGATGCTTTGAAACTAAATTCCAGACGAGCGCTGATGGGCTTTTATTGCCATGGCATGTGACATGATAGTGCCATGCACTACACTGAACGTCTTAATGCACGATCCTTTTTGATCTGCACTGATTATGAGGTTAACGATATCCACAGAAAGGAGACTTTGCTCAAATGGACCTGAGCCCCGAACTCGCACTACAGCCTCTACATTGTACCTCGAAGCATGTATCATCCGCTTGCTCTCACACATGCACGTGCGTCTGACGGAAGGGACAGACACAAGTGCTCATGGACATGTACACATTGCTGCTAGAGCCCGCTGTCCACATTGTGATGTGCGCAGCACAGGCACACACACACACACGTGTGTGCTTCAGACACTGCTACACACGGCAGCAGGAAAGCACACCCGGCATGGGTGCAGCAATAGGCATGCACCAGTGTGTGTATGTTAGTGCATCATGTGTGCATATGTTAGTGCATCGTGTGTGCGTGCTTCATGAGTATTTCCTCATCCTAACATTTTGACTCGGTGCAATGTTGATGACCCAAACGCATTACTATCAACCACTCCACTGCATGGGTGAGCGGTAGATCTTCGCCAACATGTGCATATGGCGGCGTGACATACTCGCATGCATGCTCGGCCCTCTACCAATCAATGCGTGCGTACTGGGGCAGTCCAGCTGGTGAGGGCGGGCGGGTGTGCGGGTAGTTCCCCCAAACCCCAGGTCCTGCGTGTATGGGTGCTGAGTAGACGCCATGGTGTTGGAGATACGTGTACATGTACATGTAGCTGATTTTCTGTCCAGTCCTGTGCATGATAGTGTCTAGATCCTCTAGTCGTGACTTACCAGACAAAACTATGCATGCATCACGGCCAAAGCGAGTGAGCCGTGCATACGCACGCTGCACGACGGACAGGAGAGACTTGTGAATACCATCTAGCCAGATGGGGAACACCGACGGACTGGCCGACACTGCCTGGCCAACAGAGCGGCCAGCAGCGCGACCCAGCGACAGTTTCTTCGGAGCGGCGCTTTCCTTTTTGACGGCGGAGGAGTAGCTATGCAGTACCAGGATGGAGCTTGAGTTGATGTGCACGCAAACTGGTCCGCCACTACCGAAGTTCTCCTTCAGGATAGGCACCAGGTCATCGACGCTGTGAATCTTCGTAACGTGTCTGGCCAGTTCCTTCTCCCATCCCGACGCCTCCAAGTCGCCCATCGGGGCACTCTACCAGCAAAAGTGCTGGGTGCCCCCTACATCCACTGGCTCCGCTTCTCCTTACATTGACCTAGATTCGCTGAGGCTTGGCGCATCGTCGTCCTACTCCGAACGGCCATGCCTATAGCTACAGGGGTTCTGCGACATTGCTCCACCATTCGATAAAATATTTTGATACTACACACCATCCGCGTTCACGAGCATTACTATTAGTATTAGCATGCATACACGGGTACACAAATTGCCACCTCCGTAAAATAGCGAGTCTTTGCCGATTTGCACAGTGCGAAAACCAAAAAAAATCATCGACGCGCCACTTTCCCTGTACACAGCTAAACCGTAACTAAACGGTTACTACACGGTAGCTTTGTACTCGTGCCCAGCTTTTCGGGTGCGGCGCACACATTTGAAAGAGACGACGGTTGCATACATGCAGATGTGCATTTGTGCAAACCGCAGGCGTGACCCTCAGCCTTTTCTGGTGGAGGGAGGTGGTCGAAGGTCTTGGCGGCGACGCCGCTCAGTTGGATTCTAACTCCGCTGGGGACACTTCGCTTTGCTCTCATTGTTTGCCTGACGATCGCCTTGCTCCTCCGCTTTGCGTCACCAGGTCACTGCTTCTTTTTCATAATGATTTGTCCGATTCAGCGTGTTTTCTCCAAAGCAAAGGCAAAGGGTCCGTGAGTGACTAGCTTTGTGCTGTACTAGGCTATTTTTAGACTGTGTGTGCACGCTCACGTGGAAGCGATGTACATGTACATGAATGACTGTGTACTCGTCGGTGGGTTGTGTAGTCTAGTCTGGGGCCTGAGTGAGTAAGTGAGTGATGACTGATGAGTGATGTTACTGATGTACGTACCGACGTCCTGCGCTGCTCAGAGTCATATCAGTGATTTTATTAAATTTTGTTTTGCTGCTGCTGCTGGTGCAGTGGTGGATGAATGAAACATGTGCACTGCAACGGAGCTGCTACTACATCGATTGTACTCAGAAGTCAAAGACAACGGGGCAATGTCGCAACCTTGGTTTGGCTTGGTCCCTATCGCTATGCCTATGGCCGTATGGGCCTAGAACTGACCTAAGGAATGATAAAATACCTACGCAGGCTTTCAAGATCAACGGTCAAGTCCTTTCGGCTCGTCAGGGTTCATGCATGGTCCAGCCATAGGTGCCACCAACGCCTCAATTACAATATTGCGTCAGTTTTGACTTGGGTGTCGTCGAGATTGCAATGATTCAATCCGGCATTGTGTAGCTACGTAGAGCGGCTAGAGCTGATTGAGTATTCTGCTCTATTCGAGTCTGTACTAGTACTGGTGAGACTTCAGTCCCATCCGGTCTAGTCATGCCTGGACCATACACATAATCATTACATCGGTGTCTGCTCGCCGCTCGTAATATCTGCCACCGTTGCACCGTTCTGACGCAGTGACGGTTCATGGGCCATGATACCCAAAGGGCCAAGACGGCAACACTGCCTCGATCCTGAAGCGAAAGGGTCTGACTCTGTCTGAGGTAGCGGTGTGAGATAACCATGATAACACTATAGAACTGTAGTGTGGAAATGTACCACTCCGACTCGCATTTTGATCACGATCACTATTTTTAGTGTGCAGGCATTGCGTGTCTGCGATCGCGACTGATCCCCGTCTACAGTACAGGCCAAACCAAACTTCATTCTTGGGGAAAGGGAAGCCGTGCCAGTGAAATTCTTTCTAGAAGTGTGCAACGCCTTCCGCCTGGGCTTCGCTTTTTGCGGAATGAACGGCAACACAGGCGTGACAGGGTGCGGGGACAAACTCCGGGCATGCCGGCAGTCACAGTGACCAGGTGACTATTTTCATGAACAGAATGCTACACGACAGTACTACTACCAGTACTAAGACTAAAGTAATAGTAGTAGTAATAGTACTATGGCTATGGCTATGGCTATGGCTATGGCTATGGTGATGTGAGCGCTGGTCAGTGAGGACTGTTCCTGTTGAGTGTCATGTGCTCGCAGACTCTTTCAGTCTTTGTTCCCCGAATGTTACCCTGACATAATAACACTGTGACAGCCTCGCTCACAGTCAGTGCACAACTCTCGGACTGTCACCATTGGTCACTGTATCTTACTATGATTGTTACAGTATGTACAACACTGCAACAAGTCATGAGCAAGCTTTACTAATACTAATACTATCACATGATACAAGGCATAGGAAAATCATGCAACAGTGAGTGACTGCAACAGATTAGATCAGCGTGTCCCAAACTGGGCCAAACTGGCAAACATCGACACAAACGGTACCGTCATGACCCTACTTTAGTACTTCGAAGTACTTGAGTGGAAGTAAACGCTGAGTGCGCGGGCCGGGATCATCCCGTCCCTAGTTTGGAATCTTTGGTCACTTGAGCCCAAGACAGAACAGGTAGATCTAGAGTATAATAGATATACAGTCTAGCCATGTCCTACCTACAATGACTATGTCTATGATCTACATTGCATTCTGTTTTGAGTCCATAAAGCTAATATACTTGTAAGGATGAAACAGTTCTGTCCGCAGATTGGGTATTCAGTTTTCTGTATTTTTCCTTTCCTTTTAGTTACAGTTTGTCCGGAGATTACTAGTATCCGAGTCTCGCGGTGAGGAGGCCTCGTCAATGTGTGCTTGTGTGAAGCAATAATAATACATTCATGTACATGTACTGTACATCTTCCGGACACGAATATGCATGCTATGATCGAGCAGTACCCGGTACCCCGACACTACGACAGTCCCTGGATCGGATGAACAGCGGTACTGACGTCGACCGACCGTATGTCTACCGATACGATGTACCGCGATGTGTGAGTGCATAATGACTGGTCACTGGAGCGGTGTTACGTCACATTACGTGCTTCCCATAAAGGCATACTAATTACTACTACTAGTAGTAGTAGTAGGAATGCACCGAAAACGAAGGCTTGCGCGTGCGGTCAAGTATGCAAGCCGTATATCACGGCTGTCAAGAAGCGGCAACTTAGAAAGATGGCGTCGGTTCGAGATGGCATGGTAACCGCGCACGTGCCGTGGTCCGTGACTTGCTCATGTATGCACGCAAATGCAAGTCACAAATTCACAAAGATCGTCTTTGCATTTGGAGAAAATATCTTCGACTCTCTTTGGAGGTTGGCGAGGTTTGCCTAATCTTTACTTGATTGCGATGCCGGTATGTCCTCTCAATAATTAGAACAAAGAGAGCTGATAATCGCTTCATTGCTGAGCAGAAGTAACAATCAACTCTCCTCATGTCCTCAGTGCCAAAGGCAGACGACTGCAATTCCACAACGAGCATTTCACGATGATGGAAACAATAATCGTGTACTAGTACACACTTGGACCATTTGGTCATCCCTATTCTAGCCGCTAGTCCGTCCAGCAAGCAGATATTGACTATTACGATAAGTACAACTGCGTGAACGAGGGCTCACCCAGCAAATTCAATTCAAGACGTCACTCCAGGCAAGAAGTAGGGTCTTTACTCGAGAACTTCACAAATACAGGTCAAGGCACCCCACAAAACTGATAGATGGCAAGAACGAAAGACAAATAGGCTAGACAAAGTGTCCCAAGTGATTGAAAACAGCAGATCTACCAAATAAGACAGCTACATATGCCTAAACAACGATTCCCATACAGTAGAGAGTAGTATCAGGCAGAATGAAAGCCTTGGAAGTGCACAAATACAGCCACGACCGCCACAAAAATTGGACGACCGCCACAAAAAAATTCTCATTGCTCTACCTCCTTGAAGGGTGAAAGTTACCAGTTATCCTATAGCGATGTCAGTTTATGCCTGTTGGAACCCCCCACAGCCCGCACGAAATACCTTTCAAATAATTCCAGGATGCAATTGCAGCTCCAGACAAGAGGAAGAAGAACACCGTGAAAAATAACGGCAACGATGCCCAAACACTCGGGAAACGGCTGAAGTCTTCCTGAAGATGTTAACATTGAATAGCCATCGATTACCATCGTGGTTTGGTGACTTTAGAACTGTTTTGAGACTTAGAACGAAGCGATATCTCAAATTTGATGGAATTGTTACCTGTCAAATGCGTGGGCGAGCAGGCCAGCTGACTGGTTATGCATGAACATGCATGAGCATGCATTGATTTTTCATGGTTCACGTGCAGAAAACTAAGTTGCCGCGATCCAAGTGCAGCTAACAGCCGTGCGTACTGAGTGCTCTCCACGCCAAAACATCACCAGGGATACAAACTTACAGAGACGCTCCGTTTCCAGCGCGACAAACACCTCGTGGACACCAGAGAGCAGCGTAAGTCAGTGACGCTCCTGGACGATGAGAACAGACGTAACGTTGAGGACCCTTGTTATGTCATTCACGACGCTGTCACCTCCTTGAAACCAGTGTATACCACGTATACTCTGAAATAAATAAATTAATTACTCAGTCGCAAGGCCGCTCAGCACAACACTGTCAACACTACAGTACGAAATAGTGATAGCGTCGGACTTCAGTGATACATGTATCTTTATAAGGAAGTCAGTTGGTTGCTCCGGATCCACCATACTGAAACTCGCGCCCTTCCCGCCGACTTTGACTTGACACTTGACTGACTCACGACTGCTATCCAGGGCACACGAGAAGTCCATCGAACCTTCTTCCACTTGGCAAACCTGCAAGAAAGCACCATTCCCTGCTCAATAATACGCAGCGTTTCGTAGAATCCACCCCTCATCAGTGACTATCGACTGCACTTTCATTGCCTGAAAATACACAAAAATGGGCAAATGAGTAGGGGGGGGGGGCAGCCCCCCCCCCCCCCTCTGGAGTGCTCTCCAGAGTCCAGGCCAAAACATCAAGAGAGATACATGTACAAAGTAACAGAAAGGCTCCATTTCCAGCGTGAGTCACTCCTCAGCCTACTCAAACTCGACTGATGAGGGTACACGAGTGGTTTCACATCTATCACATGACGGCCATGTAATTGTTGGTTCCAACTCTACTCAACCCCTGCATCTATGGGTCACATGATGTCGGCCATGTTGGTTCCACTGTCCACATGCCATTAATGGCATTATCATTTTCTGCACAAATTTCTAGTAGTCACATGACGACAACGATGTGAAACCACTCTACATGTACTGAAGTATACCGGTAGAGCATTGGAAAGTGTTCTATTCAAGTACTGTAAAAGTCATTATATACAACGAAGTGCCAACTCTAACGAGTTAACTTAACGAGGAGAAATCTGTCGTTAAAATAGAAATCGTTATACAGAAATCGATTCATATACTGTCCTATTGAGCGTTGAGAACGAGTGAGAATCGTTACCTTTGGTACACGTCAACTAGTCAATTTTGGGAAATCGTTATATATGCACCTCGTTATAATAATGGCTTTTACAGTAACTAGTTAGTTAGTTGCAGTCACCGTGCCAGTGTTTTTGAATGAGAGAATTAGGCAAAATTGTGATTACAGTACATGTAGGGACTGAACAAACCTGCACTGCACGATCCTGAACATGCTCAGATGTGTGTGTGTGTATATCTGTGTGAGATGTGTCTGCTAATTGGGAGGTTGAGGGGTTGAACTAAGTTACTCTTTCTGCAGTCATTGCCGGTCAGTGGGGTTTGATCCTAAAAGAAAGATTAGTGATACGTGTACCCATTCAGCCCTAGCACTATTCAGTCCTGGTAGTTACGACTGAGCGCGGGGCTGTCAATGTCAATTATGCTGTCAATTATGGTGGATGATATTGATGCATGGCCAGTACTAGTACGCCAGTGGTATAGCAGTATGTACATCATGTATGCAGTATGTACGCAGACCTACACGTAACCGGCTAGGCTGTGTTGAACTGCGTAAATAAGAAAGTATTAGTGTAGCAAATACATGTATTCACTAGCTGAGGGATTGGAAAAGGGGGAAAGTCTGAAGAAAAAATTGACCGTCACTACCAGAACTTGAACCAGGCACCTTCGCTTGAGGGCAGCGATGCTCTAACCACTGAGCTATGGTATGGTATACATGTAGCAATAGTTCTAAATTGGATGGCCAGATACATGTAAGAACCGTGATTTTGCAAAGCAAATGCATTTCCAGATTGAGAGGAGCCAGGTCCACAGACTTTAAAAATGCATGAAACACAATGTGATACATGTGATACATGTGATACATGTGATACATGTGATACATGTGATACATGTGATACATGTGATACTGTGATACATGTGATACATGTGATACATGTGATACATGTGATACATGTGATACATGTGATACATGTGATACATGTGATACATGTGATACATGTGATACATGTGATACATGTGATACATGTGATACATGTGATACATGTGATACATGTGATACATGTGATACATGTGATACATGTGATACATGTGATACATGTGATACATGTGATACATGTGATACATGTGATACATGTGATACATGTGATACATGTGATACATGTGATACATGTGATACATGTGATACATGTGATACATGTGATACATGTGATACATGTGATACATGTGATACATGTGATACATGTGATACATGTGATACATGTGATACATGTGATACATGTGATACATGTGATACATGTGATACATGTGATACATGTGATACATGTGATACATGTGATACATGTGATACATGTGATACATGTGATACATGTGATACATGTGATACATGTGATACATGTGATACATGTGATACATGTGATACATGTGATACATGTGATACATGTGATACATGTGATACATGTGATACATGTGATACATGTGATACATGTGATACATGTGATACATGTGATACATGTGATACATGTGATACATGTGATACATGTGATACATGTGATACATGTGATACATGTGATACATGTGATACATGTGATACATGTGATACATGTGATACATGTGATACTGTGATACATGTGATACATGTGATACATGTGATACATGTGATACATGTGATACATGTGATACATGTGATACATGTGATACATGTGATACATGTGATACATGTGATACATGTGATACATGTGATACATGTGATACATGTGATACATGTGATACATGTGATACATGTGATACATGTGATACATGTGAAACATGTGATACATGTGATACATGTGATACATGTGATACATGTGATACATGTGATACATGTGATACATGTGATACATGTGATCCATGTGATACATGTGATACATGTGATACATGTGATACATGTGATACATGTGATACATGTGATACATGTGATACATGTGATACATGTGATACATGTGATACATGCATCATGGATGCCTTTGTGGGTACGTGGGATATAAAAGTGGCACTAAAACTGACTAGGCCTGGCTCACCACCATAGCTTCAGTGTACGCTTGCTGTTGCAGCCGCTGGTGGCATTGCTCAGTGAGCGATGATGCTCCAGTTGTGGGTGCCAGTGTTTAATTGTTGTTGTTGTTGTTGCTGCTGCTGTTGTTGGCGGCGGCGATAGCGGTACTGGTTGTGGTGGTGGCAGCAGGGTTGATAATGGTGTCACTGTTGTTGCTGTTGCTGCTGCTGTTGGTGGCGGCGCAGTCGCTGCTGTTCTGCCTCATGGTCAACTTCCTCTTCAGCAGCCATTGCCAGGGCAGCCATGTGATTGTCCAATTCCTATGCAGAGGGTACAGTTACCAGCACAGAATAGAACTAAAGGCTCCACAGCGTCAGCCACACGCTACATCATGACCACACACGCTACATCATGACCACACATGGTACATCATGACCACACGGTACATCATGACCACACACGGTACATCATGACCACACGGTACATCATGACCTGATCCCAAGCTGGCAATGGGTCAACTCGGGCAGCGCGGTGGTATCCAGGTCTGCAAGGCGAGACGTGCCCATCAAAGATACCAAGGTCGTCACTGCAATGGCTAACTACACCGAGCTGTAAGTTCCATGACTGAAATCCAAGCAACCATTGCTATTCATGGTGTCGGAAGGTATTTCAGGGTGGAACTGTCAGCCACCTGAAGTACAATTTACTCATGGGGTTGGGGTGGCTCCTCTGAATTTTTCAAAATTTAGATCCCAAATCATTGCGTTTTATTGATTCACGGGGCGCCTCGGGCAAAGAGTGGTACGGTCAATACCATAGTGACGGAAACATCATACGGTTCGACGCCCCTATAGAGGCCCCATCCATATTTCCACGTGCACATGTATGTGCCGTGTCCATGCACAAGATTTTGAGGGCACGTGTACCCACAGCACAAGAGGCATGCCAAAAGTCATCGGCTCGCTTTCTCACACAGAGTTGTGATATGCACCTTCTATGCTGTAGACACAGATTTTGGGCACTCTAAACCAGGGAGTAGTAAAATACCTATTCCCCCTCTCTAAATTGGCCAGTTAGGCAGCACAGCCTACGTGTGTGCACTGAACTAAGTACAGTGCACAGTGAACTTCGAGTTATGCTTTTGCCATAACTTCGAATTAACAGCAGTAATCCCACACATTTTCTTTGCAAAGCAGATTTCGTGTGACTTCTAATAGGCGCACTTGCCCAGAAAGTTCTAATCAAGTAGGTGGTAGGTAGGTTCGAATTTTCAAGCATTATCAGAGTTCTCCTGTGTAGCCCGTCGGAGAATACTTGTACTTGGGGGTCTATACGGTGTTCTGAGCCTCTACAGTTGTCACGGTGACCGGTATGTGTAAGCTAAGCAGGGCGAGCATCAGTACTAGCGTTCTACCCGCCAAAGAGGACTACGCCCCCCCCCCCCCCCCCCCACACCCCCCTCCCCATTCTGATGCTGCACCCCTGTGAAAAAGTGACGCCCTTACTCATGCCATATGTGTGACAATATTGAAAATGGAAAAAAAAGTGCTAACTGCTTGCTTCCCGGCCCCCCTCCCCCCCCCCCCCCCCTTTTCCCCTGGCGAGAACCCTGAATAGACGCCACTGACCCTCTCTTGTCTTTCTTTCTCTTCACGCTGGAGCCTCTGCATGTCTTCCTTCGCTGTTGCCATGGCCAAGTGATGGTCTCCCAGCCTCATTGCAGAATCTTCCGGCTGCTGGCTGAGCATTGATACAATATTCCTGTACCTCTGCCAGCAGAATAGTGAATACAAAAGTTCACATGTGAAGGGAACATAGAAGACCACAGCGTGAAACTGGGCGAAACGGTCAGCAGAATGAATGCACATGTATATGTAGCAATGCACGGAAGGCAGGGATTTGCAGCATCTGGAGAGACGCACACACTGTCGATTGGGCATGACTTACGCCGACATCCATTGAGGCTGTTTCGTCTGCTTCTGGCATTTCAGCATCATCTGGCGGAGGTCCAAAAGGATCTAGAAGGAAGGAAACAAATTTTTGAACGTTTCATGAGTGACAGCAATAGTGTGTGTAAAGCGGGAGCTTTTTCGCGATGCGGTGGGCGATGCGACGCGATCTGCGACGGAGGCGTGCGATGCATACTCGCGAAATACCATTCACAGAAGAAGTAAGGGATGCGATCTCGCCTTGCTGATTTGGCGCGAAGCTCAATGCAGGCGAGTACGTCACCATGGTATTTGTGTGGCTTGGTACAACTTTCACAAATCTACTAAGTACAAGGAACTCTTGAACCTTTGTACAACTAATCTTTGCCGCAGAAAAGGTCAAAATCGTACGCCTCATCGCTTGTTGCATCGCGAAAGTTGAACCAAGCTCAGCTTCTGCAATGGCCCAGTTGCGGCAGTTGCGTGAGCTGCGAGATGGATGCGATTTGGGGATTTCCCGGCTTCACGGCCGTCGCACCGCGCATCGCATTGCAGAAAAGCTTCTGTGAATCCCGCTTGACTCTTGTTCATGTGTGTCTGACAGGGTGTGTCTGTGGAACATTGGTAGTCAGGTCTGGCGGAGCCGGTCCGATTGGTCTGGACATGGCCGCGGCCGAACCAACTCTTTCACCACCAACATGTGTTTACTTCTGAGGAGGCAATGCCGGTGTAGCCACCATGTGACCATATCATACACAAACTGTATGAAAGTCATGTGTACACCCTCCATATCATACACAAACTGTATGAAAGTCATGTGTATGGCCGGACCAGTCACAAACTCCTCAGTCTGCCGGCCTGCCTGGTAATGGCTTGCAAATGGTTGCGTCGGGCAACATCACAAACGCCTTTGTAGGATTGAAAATCAGAGAACGCTGGAAATAAAAACTCTGCTAAAGGAATTGATAATTAGCCCAGTGCTCAGGAAACTAAACATGCACATAGCTATGCCAGCAAGCATGCTCACACCGTCGTTCAGCCTGTGTACGTTTCATCACAATTTGTCCGCCAATATGTTGTATAAATTGACATTGTTGTGCTTCGTCGCATTATCACCATGTACTGATTTGAAGAGTAATGGTACGAAAGGCCTCGTCAGATTTTCAAATGGCTTTGTCTCTTCGTGTGCCAACCTTCCTTCCTTCCTTCTTCCACTGCCATGACTGGCTATGTGGCCCTATACGGGGCAGACCAGGAGACGTGTTGTCCACCGGGCGGGGAACGCCATACTCAGCGCGCGCGGGCCGCGCAAACAGCGTTACACTTGTGCCTCGCAATATCCTGCGGCCGACGAAAACTGCGCGCACAAGTGCCACAGATGAGGGGCTTCGCCACAGGCTCCATGCGGGACTGGACAATAGCGTCGACAGCATCACGGCAGGTGACCCGTCATCCCTGTCGATCTTGGACGATGTCACCAAGCTGCTCCAGAGGAACGCCAACAGCCATCAAGTCGCACTTCACGGAGTCCTTCCAGCGCTTACGGGGTCCATGCGGTGGACGTTTGGAGGGTAACGCGCCGTACAGCAGCTGACGAGGGATCCGATCCTGCATGCGGAACACATGGCCAAGCCATCGAAGTCGGCGGACTCTGACTTTATCCGCGATCTCCTCCATATCGCCCCACATCCTGCGAACCTGGAGAGAGGAGATGTGCTCCTCGATCTGCCGGCCACGATTTATCTTCAGGATGGAACGCACGCACTGCAGGTGAAAGGACTCCAGGCGACTGACATCACGCTGCCTGACGGTCCAACTCTCAGATCCATAAAGAAGGACTGCCAGGACAGTCACTCCATACACAATGCACTTGATGGCGATGCTGAAGTCATCACTGTCGAAACCGACTCCCGCAGTGTACAGAACGCACCCGATGCAGCAGCAACTCGCCGAGACACATCAAATGAGCTCCGGGCGTCTGGCGTAACATGACAACCGAGATAGCGAAAGGCCTCAACGTGGTCAACAACACCATCCAAAGGCGTCTGTTCGGCATCCAAAATACCAGCCCCAGCCGCCATGAATTTGGTCTTGGACATATTGACACTAAAGCCAAACGCACCAGCTACATCCCTGAACGAGGATAGAGCCCTCTCAGCACCAGCATGCGTAACTGCGAGCAGGGCTGAATCATCCGCAAACTGACACTCCGTCAGCCGAACTCTGCGATACTCTGCCAATCTGGTGTTGAAAAGCCGCTCCCTCCGAAACTGGACGAGTGGGATCCCCAGCTCACCATCATCAGCAATCACGCCACGCCATCTCTCGAAGACTGCACACATGTATAGGTTAAACAAAACTGGGGCCATAGTGCAACCCTGCCGCAAGCCATTCTCAACCCGAATCGGTGCAAGCAACATGCACACACACACACACACACACACACACACACACACACACACACACACACACACACGTGCACACACACATACACATACCTTGCACATCAAGTGCGTTCATGACACGTCTCAGCATGTGGATGAGCATGACACTTCCATACGTGTTGCCCATCATCTTGCGCAATTCGCTCTCTTTCTGCTGCAGCTTGCGGACTCGGCCCTCAGCTGCCTTCACCTTCTTCTGCAGGCGATCGTTTTCGCTCAGAAGTTGCTGGTGGTTTCTCTGCTGGTCAATGTGTTCCTGCTCTCTGATAAAGCCATGAAACACCAATAATGAGACCACAACGATAGTAAGGATTATAGTACAATGTAGTTGCATGCCTATTGACTTACATTAGGCCACGCCGGGGTCTGATGTTATCTTCTACGAGTATGACCTTGCTCAGCATACGAGCACAACTTGATTGCGTGTCAACCCGATTTTATGAAACTGTACACGACCATGTATCTAAACGTGTGCTCATATCTAGTGCAGTGTTGGGTGACAGTCCAGTGCAGAGAGGTCTACCAATAATGCCATACTAACGTTGAAGCGAATACTCGTACTTCGAAGAAGATGTAGATGTCAACCCCCCTCTCCTCACCCACTCACACAGTATCTACTGATTAGTTTTCAGCTTCAGCTAGTCACTCTGAGCAGTCTGCTGGTGAGACCTGCAAAGGTCGAGACAGTTAGCTGTCCACGATTGACTATAATGTTGACCAATTATAGAAGTGCAATTGTCTTTAAAAAGTTCACCTGTTGTCAAGGAAGGTACTTTGCGTCTGCAGCTCTTCCTTTTTAATCGTTATCTCCTTCTCCTGCTCATCTAGCTCACGGCGTTCATCCTCAAGCCCCTTCCGTTCGACTCGCAGATGATCACGCTCTTTATCAAGTTTTGCCTGTTGTTCCGACAAACTCTCCGGCTGCTGTTGCTCGACAGACTGCATCAAGCCATCAGGTGTGTTGCCTGTGAGCTGGACATGACTGGAGCACTGCTTCTCTACGGAGTCCCGGTCCGGATCGCTCTGGGGAGTGGATGCTGCTGGGCTGGATGGAGGGCTTTGCTGCCCCGCCACTACCGCCACCGCACGTGTTTCACAAGTAGTGGCATCGTGGTGAGCTTGACTTCCGTGACTTATCTCGCTGATACCCGTACCCGTTGGTCCAGGACTGCCGGGAATGTTCCTGGTGCTTACACTCCTGCGCCGACCAGGTCTAGATTCTGCATGCAAAACACCGCCAAAGCCAAGCGGGTATCATGAAAGAGCAAATCCTATGCTTGCTGATGATTGATCACGCAGGCCCAAAATGCGGCATTCTGTGAATCATTAATTTTAGTATGGTTGTTTTCTGTAACCAGGCCGACAGATGACATTGAGGTAAAAAGGCACTCAAAAGCATTCAGTCACAACTATTAGGTGTATAATTATTAGGGGTGAAACAGTTCGGGTAAGGAACCGGTTTTGGAACCGCCAGCTGAAAAGAATCGGGTACCCGTTCCGTCAAATTTCGAATCGAAACTCAAAAAATCTCGTTCTTGTACAAATACATGTACACGTCAAGTCTACTCAAGATTTTAATGTCTTACCTTACGATCCCCACTCTTCCAAAGAGTTCTCTGGTCATTATCTTCTTCGCACTTGGACTCTCCGATGTCTCATTCTTGCTCGTAGAAATGTTTTTTTCTAAAAATAATTGTCGCGAACGCATTTTGTCGGTCTGGACAAAAGTGTCCATGGAACCGATACCCGAACCATGGGAAACAATGCTGGCATTCGGGTACCCGAACATGAAAAACATGGAACCGTTTCACCCCTAATAATTATACTATAACAATTAACTGTTACATGTGCTCCCCCGCCCCCCCCCCCCCCCCCCCACGCACACGAGAAATCAACCTGTAGAAATCAAGAGATCAAGGTAGACACAGGCAGAAGTACACTCATATCTCATTCATCCGGGACCGGTCACTGCCCACAACTTTCGGGAAATGTCCATAATTCTGAATCGCATACGTTTCAATGGGAAAGGGCCAGAGATCTGGCATATGATGTCAATATTTCCACAAAAAAGGCAAAAAGTAGCAATGTTTCCCTATAACTCACCTACAGGGTGCCCAGTATACCAAGGGGGTGCACATAACTTCAAGGTCCGGACAAGAGAGATATGCCGTGCAAAACCTTACCTGCTTCTCTGGATTGTTGGTTAGGAAGGGGAGCCGGAGAAGGCACTTCCCAGAGCTTGCACTGAATAGGAAAGAACAGAGTACATGTTTGGAAACAAATGTCACCACTCGCGTTACACTCCAGGGGCGTAGGAAGGTATTTTAGTGTGGTACAGTCAGACATCTGAAGTAAAATTTACTCGTGGAGGAGGGGGTGGCCGAGGCGAAAATTTAGGCTTAGAGTCCAAATCAGTGTATTATATTGGTTGATGTGGTACCTAAGGCAAAAAGTGGTACGGTCAATACCGTAGTGACCGTACCGTGTCCAGCGCCCTTGCACTCAGTTAGATAGAGCTTTCCCCATCCGTAGGAACGCCACCACACTCATGAGATCATGTTTGGAAAGTCAACTAATCAATTGGCATCCACTAACTTATAATGCCATGAATCCATGATCCACGTGTGTATTCACCTCCACACAGCTTTTTTTGTCAACATCAACAAGACAACATCAGCAATTAACCATCTTACGTAAAGGGCCGTAATCTCTCTCTCTCTCTCTCTCTCTCTCTCTCTCTCTCTCTCTCTCTCTCTCTCTCTCTCTCTTTCTCTCTCTCTCTTTCTCTCTCTCTCTCTCCGGATATTCCTTTCTTTTTCGCTCACGGTTGTTGTATTTACTTCAGCCACTGCCACCGGGGTAAATAAATACATTCATGACCATACTACATGCACAGTCGTGGCCAAAGAAATCCGACCCGCGGGTCAAAGGTAGCGCCGCGTTTCCACTTTGATGACATCATGAATGATCCGAGGGCCGCGGCCGCAGCAGCCGCATGAGCCTTGGCACTGCTTTCGGCACGTGGGTTGGATTTCTTTGGCCACAACTGTACATAGATGATCACACTACTACTGTCAATACATAGAGCATTAGGGGTAGCGACTGTACTGCACCTGCAGTACTGTCATTTGATTAGAGAAGAAAACGGACCACAGTTTCCTGGTTAGCATTGTTGCCCACCATGTACCAATGTACTGTCAAGATACTGTAGCCGGATCCAAGCGTGCAGCATTTGGCACAATCCAACTGTTGGTAAGCACATCCCAGACGTGACACAGTCAAAATAACGTTAATGACAGGCAGATGAATGTCAGTGTCATGCATCGGTGTTGTGGCAAATGTTGCACGTTCTGACCCTACAGGATCTTGGCCAAAAAAAGTGGTGGACCGACAACAATGCATAACAAGTAAACTGTGGACTTTTTCTTCTGTTTACTATAATTACTACCAAGAGTAGATAAACAGTTTATCTACTCTTGTTACTACAGGGCTTGAACTTTGAACAAGGAGTACACACTAAACTAGCATACCTGAGTGGCAAATACAGCATTCGGCTGGACCAGGCAACTAAGTCGGCAGTGCGAATTCGCCACCGCGCAGTACTGGGCGCAACAGCGACTGCCACCCAAGACCGCCTGCCGCAGCCACAGCAGCGAGCAATGTCCTTGGCACGCGAGAAGGGCGGGTCCAGTACCCTGACCACCGTCCCTATGGCTGAGCACGGTTTCAGCTTTGATGTGAAGGGTGATTTTCACGATCATATCCGGCTCCGGTACTGTTGGCCTCTGGACAACCTGCCAGCATCCTGTACCTGTGGCTCAAGGTTCTCAGTTGACCATGCCCAAATTTGCAAGCTGGACCGATAGCCGCGGCGCATTCTTTGATACAAGGGTGTTTTATCCCCACGCGTCAAGCTATCGGTCCAAGTCTCTCCCCTCCCTCTACCGAAGGTTCGAAGGAGAGAAGAAGCGTGCTTACGGTGAACGTGTCAATGAAGTCGAGCATGGCTCCTTCACACCGTTAGTCTTCTTCTCCTGTGGTGGGATGGGCTCTGAAACAGCCGTAGTAGTCAAGAGGCCGGCGCAGGGCCTGGCCACCAAACGCAACGCTGCCTATAGCCGGGTTGTAGCTTGGCTGCGGTGCTGCTTGGCATTTTCTCTTGCCAGATCTGCCATCCGTTGCGTCCGTGGATCACGCTCTCTGTCCCCACAGGATACCGCGATTCCGCGGACGCGGAATTTTCCGCGTTATTGGTTATCATCCGCGTTTTCGTGAGATTTCGCATATATCCCGCGTTATTCATGAGAATGTACAAGAAAATAGTGCATGCTGTTGAAAATGTACTACAAAGTCGTATGGGTTCATGAGTTTGTACGACAAAGTTGTATTCTTGCATGAGACTGCACGCTAAAGTTGTACCAGTGACAGATAACTCGTGCATAATGACCGCATTAACCCGCATCATATTTGCCGCATAATCCCGCATATTTGCCACCTCGCATAATGGTCTGTTTTCGCCCGCATGATTATGCGCATAATTTCAGGATTTTGTCCGCGTTATTCTGTGGGGACAGCGCTCTGTTCGACGCCGTTGCTTCGACCTCGCGCCTGTCGACCTTGCCCAGGCTGCGGCGCATCTGGCTCGACATTAGACTGTATTTACAGCCATTTATCTTCTTTCTTCCTGTTGTTGTTTAACTACTGGCCGACGTGTATTTACCGCCATATTGCCCGGTGCGTGTTTACCACCATAATTATGAATAAAATACTCAGGAAGTAATACAGTCAATGCCACTATCCACCGGCCAGTAAGTTATCCGACAAGCCCTGGAGTGGTTATTTAACTCATTTTATGACTAGAAGCAACAGGCTGACGCTGTAGTCGGAAAAGAGCCAGGAAACACCTTCATGGCTCCTTGGTACTCGTTCTTGCCGTTTTCCAGCAAAGTTATTGTTTCCGGCTTCCACTGCATTTGCTTGAAGTTGAAGTACAGCCAACTTCGCTTATAACGACATTCGATGGGGTATCAAAAAAGTGTCGTTATTCGCGAAGTGTCGTTATACCCGAAGTCTCATTATATGTATTACAGTTGGAAAGGACTTTGCTCTGGGCATGGAAATGCTGTCGTTATTCGCGAATTGTCGTTATATCCGCAGTCGTTATTAGCGAAGTTGACTGTACATACAGTGTATACCGGCACATTCAATTCTGCACGCTCACATGTAACATTGCATGACTGCGCCGCATGGCTATGAATCCTGTTATCGGGTACACAAACCGGTGAGATCAAACTTATATCAGCGAGCAGTATCCATGATGAGCCACCAAAGACGGTGGTTGGATAAATGGCATTTTGTCTGCAATAGGGCAGAGCATGCCAGCACTTAGCACGAAATCTATGATGCACCAATTTCTAGTAATTTCAAGTAAAAAATTTAAAAAAATTGATGAATATTAAACGGAAACCGTCACCAAATTTTATATTTTAAGTAGAGACCACGCAGCTCCACCAGTGCAGAATGAGTTGATGAACTTTAAAATACAACACCGAAATCTTAAAAATAAAAATACAGAGGTCCAGTATACAGTGTAGTACTGTGCTCTTTCCCGTTGCGCGTGTGCTTGTCCCCACTAGGCTCTGACTGCAGCACCGGTACTACAGACCTACATAGTAAAAATAATAATAATAAAAAATAAAAGGGTACCGGCTAGCACTTAAATGAAGATTTAAAAAAAGTGTTTTCCAAATATGACGCTCACTTGTACATAAGGTAATTGACTAGCAGCGGCGGAAGGTTGAGGCAGTGAATAGCCTTGGAGACACCGTACTCACGACACGCGTTAGCGACAGTAGATCGACACAAAGACGTCAGACGCCTGGTCTGCGGCTCATAAGACCTGACCAGATCCAGCACACTCACTTTTCGCTGTGCTGGCGATAGCTCCACAGCACATTGGCAAGAGGGGCCATCATGAAGATATCCATCTACAAGCGGTAACTCGTCGGCACGTTTCGTTACATGCGGGAGGCCATCGTGCTTAATCAGCAGCTGAACCACAGCGTCTTCAGTTGTTTTCACGGCCAAAAGTCGATCAACAACTGGTGCTACACCGTAGCCAAAGCACGCCTGAGCTGCTGCAGCATCAAGACATTCCACTGGCGGCATACGGTCGTACACTTTTTCACGAGTTTCTTCTGTCAGACATGGCGCAGCAACAGAATCCACGGGGAACCGGCCATGGTTAATGAAGCGGGGAGGCCAAGAGGTACGCGTGACAGGTTTCCTGAATCTAACAGAACGCAAACGAAGCCTAGCTGCTCTGGCCTTCTCGATTTTCAGCCACGCCGTGCAGAGTGCAGCGCCTTCCGAGATTGAGAGACCAGCTGGATGCGCGCCCGCATGCAGAACATGCCGGACAACATCAGCGAGTTCTTCAGCATCGATCGGTCCCTTCAACGTGTGATGCCGGAGGTAATGGAGGAAAGCGCTGCCCGAACAAAGACTTTTCAGGACCAGAGAGCAGCAGAATTGCTTGCAAATGCGCTCGTCATCCGTGAAGCAGGGCATGTTGAGGAGCACCCTACAACTTGGTGTCGTATACAGGTAGTACGCAAAGTTCCATTGGCAGCAGTCAGTTTCCCAGCGACAATAGGGCATCATGCAACGGGCACTGTCCTCGTCACCGAGCGCTAGCGTTATACACAGTTCTATCATCGGAGGAGGATACTGCGGGTTCTGGCACAACGCCAAGCAGGTAGGAGCATGGCCTCGAGCGAGTGAAAACGCTGTCACAGTTCCTATATAGTTCAGGTCGCCTCCGTCAGAATCATCATTGATAAGATCCTCGTCTACCTCCCTGTGCATTAAGTGAGCACCTTTATAAGGTGAAACACCATGTTCAATAAGGCACCTGACAATACCAGAGTGCTGGAGGATTGCGGCGACACCGATTGGAAAATAGACCCAAGCACCCCGCAGTCCTGCTTCAGCTGTCTTTCCTGTGATACCCAGCTGAGCTGATGTAGCAAACGCTCCCCACTTTAAAAGGCATCGTACCATCTCTTCATTACCGGTTAAGATGGCACAGTGCAGCAATGTCGACCTGAAGCAACCCTCGCCACCATGCAGTTCGCCAAGAAGTTCTACAAAGTCTGGCGGTTCGTAGATTGGTCCAGGCGCCCGCTGCTGCGACTGAAGCAGCTGCTTGGTGTGAGGCGACGTCGCAGGGCATGCCGTATCAGTACTGTTGCTCTCCTCTGAACACCGGGTCTCTGAATCACGTTGAAGAGGACCCTTGCCGACTTTAGCAGAGACTCGCACGTTTTGATACTGGGGAATCCGGAGCTGAGGTTTAGGGGAAGGTGGGGAATTCGGAAAGGGTCGTTTTGCTGCTGGTTCTGGGCTGGTCTCTGAGCTGCTCCATGAGCTGGTTTCTGGGCTGGACTCTCCAAAAAAGTTTTTCGAGTCGACTCGACTCTCATCACATTCTTTCAAAATTTGCAAAACCTCCTCAACTGATGCTACGTTCCCATTGCACACCAGCTTCCGTAGAAACAACGAAATTTCTGATATACAATAATCGGTGTCGTCGTCGTATGTCCTCTCTCCTGTGGCAACAGAGATATCCAGAACAGCAGTATGTTCAGGTTCGTTCACTCCTTCAGTTTTCAGCACGTATTCTGCCGCTTCTTCGAGGTATGGACGATGCAAGGCTAGTCTCGCTGGTCCAAATTCAAAGCCAAAATAACCCAATTCCATACCAAAACAAGACTGACGCTACCCTAAGTAAGACGGACCTTAGTTACACTCCATTGCCCTCCTCTGGCTGAAGCAAACAACAAGCCATGTTTCAATAAACATCAACGGACCAGGGAGTTGGTAAGCCCATAGGCCATACAACTCCCTGGAATGGCACAGATCAGAAATAAATAAAAGCAAGCAAGATAATTTAAAATTATATGTACGAGCTCGTATCATACAATCATGTAGATTCCAAAAGGATGCGTTGAAAGAAAAAGTGGAGATTTCTACTTGTACTTTTTGTTGTCGTAGAAGCAAGATTACACATTTTAAACACAGATCGAGTACGTACATGAAAACCAGGGAGTCGTCAAGGTATTTGACGACTCTCTGATGAAAAAAACCCATTTTTTCATGTACTCTTGCTACAATAATAATTATAGTACACAAGCAATGCAGACAAGCTCACGTGTACATGAAAAGGTTTTCATCAGGGATCGAGACGATAGGAGGTATTTTAGTAATTAATTTTTACGACTCCCTGGTTTTCATGTACTCTTGCCAGTCTTGGTGCAGATGATCGATGAGAGTTACCATGGTTACTGCTGACCAGAGCTGTGATATGATACCTGGTACATGTATAATAAACAATCAAGACTACATGAAGACATTTTCATGTACTCTTGCTATGGTGGCGTTCGAATTGAGATGTTGAAGTGTCCCAATGGCAATAGAACGGTTTCTATCATTTTAGAGTTTTTCACGCATTTTTCATAGGAATTGTCATGGCGATAATGACGTCCGATCAGATCGACCATCTCGACGTAGCTATTCCAAACTCTTCGGAACTGATCCACCTCTCCCATCGGATGAGGTTGTGCCAAGTTTCGAGGAGGTTCGAGGAGTTTCGTTTTTCTGAAGAGGCCAATATTAAAGCCACCTCTTCAGAAAAACGAAACTCCTCGAAAAGTTAAAGAGTGACAATTCGAACGCGCCTATGTAAAACGGCATTCGGATGCGGCGGCGATAGCCGATACACCACAGGTGACTTATTTCCACAGAATGCATACTCAGTAGAGGTGTTGTAAATAAACCCGGTCTCAGTGTGTCGTTGTGCAGAGCAGAATTTTGTTAGTACTCCCTGGTTAAAAAATATAAAAAAGCACAATGCAGCCGGGCCGTAGCGCTAGCGGCACCCGGTCCGGCTTGACAACTGAGGAGCCGGCAGTGCATGCAGTGGTACGTGTTGAGGTTCCTGGGTCGGACCCGTTATTACGAAAACGTTGACCAAACCCGGCGGCCCACCCAAGGACCAATTCGAATATGTGCACGTGCAACTATTACTTGAAACGGAGTTTGGCCGTAAGCAAAGAGTAGATCTACTCTCAGGATCAGCAATGTTCCATGATTTCTTGTATTAAAGTGACGTCAGTATCCCATTTGGCACTGAGGCACTGCTGCATGTGGTTGGGTTGGATCATGTGCAACGCGGCATACCAGTATTTTATACACTCACAACGAAACTGGTTGGCTGTAGCTGGCCGAGTCAATAGCCAGTCCTTTCGATTGGCAGATCAGTCACTGTGACATTGGGAACGGCCGCATGATTGCCTTATTCTCACCCGAAGCCGGGTCAGGGCAGATTAGGGTATTTAGCCAGCACCGGCACAAGTCGCAGAGCATTCACATCATCGGAATGTCTGAATCGGCGGTCATGCTGTCATGACCGGTGCATGCCGGGAAGAGGGCCAGACCGACATGCATGCTATCAGGTTCTTCATTCCCTTAGTTCTTTCTGGAAGTATACCAGGAGTCCAGGTACCCGGCACTCTTCACCCTCACCACACAAGACGACAACGCTTCGCTTCAGTAGCAAGTTGCAAGCACAAGACAATAATGACAATAACTCAGCAATCGATGCAAAGCATCCAGCAGTATACACATTACAACCTAAGCGAGCTAGGAACAAAGTGAGCGAGCAGCCAGCAATGATCAGGATGCCGGTAGAGATTCTACAATAGCAGTTAGCACTATATCACAGTATTCATTGGCGAGACAATGGTACATCGGACACCATGGCAAACACCTAATTGGAGCAGAAATGCCAAACCAATCCGGGATATGTTGTATGCTGGGTACGAGTATCGTTGGATTTAGCGTAAGCGGTAAAATGCTAACCATCATGTCTTGTCACAACAGAGGAGAATGTAACACAGAAATAATAAACCAATTGCATCAAGAGTAATACTTATAAACACAATTAAGCCACGTGTACGGGCAAAAATACATACATATGCATTGCTCACTGACTTGTCAGTTTGAGCACTCTGGCAAGGTACGTTCGGGCCTGGTTGGAAATTTTTATTTCCATTGCTATCAGGTTCGGCCTCATTTCCTCTGTGCTGCGCTGATGAGTTCAAAAAGAACGAAACAGCATGCTGTCCGCAGATTGAGTACATATGCATTGTACAATGAAAATTTCAAAAGAGATATACGAGCGAGAAATAATGCACAAGCTTCCAGTGAAAAGCTGAAAGACCATGATCAGGAGGATTATCACTTTGTCAATGTTATAAATTGAGATACACCCAGCCTCAGATGCACGTTTTCATTACCGTAGTGCCGCCCTTAATTGATGTAGTTTTTCTTAGGCGGTGTTTAGACAATGGTGTATGTCCTACACTATTTCTTCCCATTTTCATCGTTTTATTGCACTGGCATTGTCTCCACCGTTTTACATCGCATGAATACAGTATACACAAATGTCGATTCACCTTGCCTAATTGATTGCGGTTATCAAATTATTGTCTCCTGGCCGTTTGTTCGAAAAATAAGCCTCGTCCTTTCATGATACTGGCCAAGTTCAGCTTTGTGCACATTCACGGCTTTCAGCATCATTCAGGCACCGGTTCCTCATCCGGTCAAAATTTCCAACAATCATGGAACACCCTGCACTCTTAAAATGGCATGTGCCTTGACAGAGCACGGGCACTGTAAACTGCCTAACATTCACTAAATTCGCGAGAAGACCATAACGCAAACACATGCATTAACCATTGCGAAATCAAGCTTTTCAACAGTGGGTGTATGTAACTTAAAAAAATTGTTTGTGACCACGGTGCTCCGCAAGCATTTGCCATCGCCGGTGAACTCAGAGCCGCTGATTCTGAGAAATCGCGAAAATTTAGTGACGCAAAGGTTGGGCAGTTTACAGTAATGTGTCCATGGACTACAGTCAGACCTCGCATAACCATGGACTACAGTCAGACCTCGCATAACCGTGGACTACAGTCAGACCTCGCATAACCGTGGACTACAGTCAGACCTCGCATAACCGTGGACTACAGTCAGACCTCGCATAACCGTGGACTACAGTCAGACCTCGCATAACCGTGGACTACAGTCAGACCTCGCATAACCGTGGACTACAGTCAGACCTCGCATAACCGTGGACTACAGTCAGACCTCGCATAACCGTGGACTACAGTCAGACCTCGCATAACCGTGGACTACAGTCAGACCTCGCATAACCGTGGACTACAGTCAGACCTCGCATAACCGTGGACTACAGTCAGACCTCGCATAACCATGGACTACAGTCAGACCTCGCATAACCGCGGCACACATAGAAATATCCGGATAGGCGAATGAACCGGATAATCGAACACACTGTACTGTATGTATGCAGCATGGCATATGCTGTAAATCAGTAACCAACGATTTTCTTCCGGATGACGAGTGATCCGGATAAAGGAGGACCAGATAAGCGAGGTCTGACTGTGTTCACTTTCCAAGCCACAGCTTACCAGTTGTTTCACGGCTCCACTGGGCTTCAGGCTCGAAGCATCTTGACCAGAACATCGATTGTCGTTATTCGGAGGCATTCTCGGTTGTGCACTTCAGTCTGGACCGTTGGAGTGTGTCTAGAGTCTAGACAGTATAATTGTATGCATATGCAACACAATGGTGGTGACAATCATGGTGATACTAGCACCATACTTCCCATGACCCCCTCCCCCTCGAATCAAAACTACAACTAGCAAACTGAGCATGAACCCTGTGTGTGTGTATGTGTGTGTGTATGTGTGTGTGTATGGTGCCAGCTAGTTCGGTTGGTGGGTACACTTATGCCTGATTGTGCTGGGTCTGTTGCCAACGGGCTCGGCTACTTGAAGGTGTAATGTTGTACCCGCCACCTTTGTTGGTTCCAGGGTTCATATACTTCTCTGTCCACCCTGCACTCACTCGTTGCGCACACATCCGCACACTCACTCATACGTGTACACCACTATTGAACACGTGAACACTGCCAGTGGGGGCCACCACAGCACAAAGACAAAAGAGTGGTGGTGACAATCATGGTGATACTAGCACCATACTTCCCATGACCCCCCCCCCCCCTCCCCCTCGAATCAAAACTACAACTAGCAAACCGAGCATGAACCCTGTGTGTGTGTATGTGTGTGTGTATGGTGCCAGCTAGTTCGGTTGGTGGGTACACTTATGCCTGATTGTGCTGGGTCTGTTGCCAACGGGCTCGGCTACTTGAAGGTGTAATGTTGTACCCGCCACCTTTGTTGGTTCCAGGGTTCATATACTTTCTATTTGAAGTATACATACCTGTTAACCATGGACTGCTTCTGGCTAGATTAACTCTTGTGTAATCAATGGTGCTAGTGAAGCCTATATCAAATCCACGCTGATTTAGCCACCCACACTACTTGTAGTAGCAAGTATTACCTTCACTGGGGGCAGGGGAAACTGCAGTTGGATCCCTGGACGGATACCCTGATGCCGTCAATCCTTTTTTTGCACCTTGTCCTCACCCACTTACTGAGGTGTGGTGAGCCCATAAGTGGGATCATTTTCAAGTTCACCCAGAGTTTTGGGGATTTCAGGGGGTGTCGGCCATTGGGCGGTTCAATAGCCAATTGAGTCATCTTTCCAAGATTCCTTTTGAGTCTCTCTCCCCTCTCCCGGGGAGACCCACGTGACCAGTTTTGGCAGTGAGCAACAAGAACAGTGTGTGTGTGTGTGTGTGTGTGTGTGTGTGTGTGTGTGTATGTGGTGTTCGTGTGTGCGTAAAAATGAAAATATGAAGTTATTGAGGCTTCCGTTGTCTAGTGATGTCTACATATTCCGTCTTGTTCTTGTTTCGCATTTCGCATGATGTATACACTGGCGCAGTTCTTTGAATATAAAGTGGCTCACGCATGCATCAACACATTTCTTTGTTACCACAGTACATGCTCAAGCAGGGCGGGATTCCAACTCAACCACTAGTCCACTCGCCAAAACACTGGTCGCGGCATATAGGCGGATTATAGGCAGCATGAAAATGTAGCATATTGCAATTTGTACGCAACTGTTCTCAATGCCTGTTGCAATGAAGCAGCACAGTGCGAGGAGTCAACATAGTCTTTCGTGCGTACATGCACACAATGATAATATTATCACACAAAGGGGAAATGGCGTGGTCGTAAGTCAAGCCCCCTTCGATTATGAAAGCGGCCGGCCAAAACTTGTGAAGCCTAATGAGAGGGGGCGGTGCTGTGTTTGCAAAGCACGTAACATCAAGAGCACATTAAAAACATGTAATAGTTGATGTACTCTTGATAACATGGTATACCAGTAACGCCAGTTTCCGGACACGTAGTGGGACCTACCAGAGAGGCTACGGCCCAGGTGCGTGCGTAGTACAGTCGTGGCCAAAGAAATCCGACCCACGTACCGAAAGCAGCACCAAGGTCCGGTGACCCTCACTCAGATCGTTTTTAGAACGTGCATGATGAGCTGGAAACGCCGCGCTACTTTTGACTCACGGGTCGGATTTCACTGGCCAGAACTGTACAAGACCGGGTACTTCGTGGTGAGAAGCCTCCCAAGGCAAAGGCAATGGCCTACTAGTCAGACTACTACTGTATCACTATCCGTATCGTACAAGCTCACCTCAGTCCAAGCACGCCGATACTGGTTGAGTTGGAGTCCGGGCTGGCACGACTGCCGCTCAGTTCTGCATGCAGCAAGCGCGGTGGAATAGCCTTGACTCTTGAGGAAGCGATTCCAAATTTCCGCGCTGTTTGAACCGAGCAAAAAATGCTCCTTCGTGGCAGTTTTCAAGGCGACGATCTACGTACGAGTGCATAGTCAACTATTGCAGACCAATGCGCTGCCAGATAAGCAACGCACTCTGCATGCATGTGGAGGCTGAGCACATAACCATTCGCTGATCGCTGGGTACGTCGAATGGGCTTTGCTCATACAAAGCACAGTGTCAGTGGACAAAGCAAGACGCTGTCGACACGCCGGTCAGGGACAAAACCGCTGAAGTCAGTGAAGACGGTATCAAAACGTTTCGCCAGTTATATTATATCAAGAAAAGAATTATTGTGCGTACCGAAAGTTCATGTCCGCGATCCGCGACAACACGTCATTGCGCGAACATAGGATAGGTGACCTGGTGACACGTTGATGTGAGTTACTGTACTTCACTTCGCATGCTTGTCGACATGTCACCCAGTCATCACATGCCCAGCCGAGTACAGACTGACACATGACCGCCGGAAAATGCGGTCCAGTGACCAGGTGACCTGTTTGAGCTGAGGTAGACCTACATTTATTTCACATTCATCCTTTTCTTTCCATGCATGCACTAAAGCACATACCGTACATGTACAATCATGTGCTTTCGGGGTTTTTCTTTCTACAAAACACACGTACCTCCACTCCAGTCACTAAAGTGAACAAAGGAGTCTCAGCTTTATCAGCTCGGTATGGACACACCATGTACAAAGCCATTTGGCTGATTGAGTAAAACAGAAAGATGAAACTTCAAACGGGTGCCTTTCCCGACCAATACGAGCTGAAGCAGCAGCAGCGCAACTCCAAACTACTCTACACGAAGGAGTACTAAAGGGTTTTTTTTCACTACTCCCTGTTCTGCATAGTCACCAGTGGAAAAATGATAGAGAATCGTCCGGATTCAACGGTGCGGCTTGTGTCACGCACACTGTCACAACAACACACTGTACAAGAATTATTATGACAGTAGGCCTGGTTTACAACTAGGCAGCAGTGCAGTAGCAACATTTTAGCAGAAAACAGCTCTCTCTCTCTCTCTCTCTCTCTCTCTCTCTCTCCTCTCTCTCTCTCTCTCTCTCTCTCTCTCTCTCTCTCTCTCTCTCTCTCTCTCTCTCTCTCTCTCTCTCTCTCTCACACACACACACACACACACACATGCGCATTGACGCGAGTGAGCCAGCAAAGCAGAGAAGCATACATGCAAGGCTGAGTTTAGTGATATTCACCATAGATTATGCAGACTGGCACCACAGTCCACAGTAAAAAGTCAGACACGAACGGAGGTCAGTCCAGGGTGCTGCAGTGATGCCTGCACCTTCTGCGGACGTATTTGTAGCAAGAAAGAAATAGCTGGCACAGATGTGCAGCATGCGATGCAGTCCAGTCATCAAGGCTACGGGTCGGAACGGCAAAGGAGTCTGCAAGCATGCAGGTCTGCTGCCACTGTCAGCAGCTGGTGAAGAAGATGACTAACAATGTCCACTGCAACGGAATGCATGGCAACACCTCCTAGTGAAAGTCATTTGAGACGTTGGATTTCGGAGAGAAAGCAACGGCCAACACGGCATGCCCATGAGGATGTGAAGCACATCACTGGAGACGGACTTGATCACCGCTTTTCCGGGATCAGCTTTGGTGGCCGCAACGGACCCTTGGGGATCTTGTCCTTGTCTTTGTCCTTCTTCTTCTTTTTCTTTGCTCCGGTCTGCCAGTCCCGCCAGCTGTCCACACGTTTCGTGCGACTCTCCTATTCACAGATGCAAGAGGAATGAAGAAAAAGTTACCAGAAAAAAGCCGAAATTCCCAAACTCCGGGTGGACTTGGAAATGATCCCATTTATGGGCTCACCCCACCACAGGAAGTGGGTGAGGGCAGGGTGCAGAAAAGGATTGAGGGCATCACGGTCACCGTCGGTGTCCGTCTCGGGATCCAACTGCATTTATCCCTGCCCCCAGTGAATGTACTTGATAAATAAATTAATAATGTGGATTGCTCAATGAGAGTGGATCTGATATAGGCTTCACTAGCAGCATGGATTGCACAAGAGTGAGTCTATTTGAAGCAAGTAGCCAGAAGCAGTCCATTGGTCAACATGTATACTTTGAATAGAGAACACACACACACACACGCACACCATTGGGCCATTGGACGCCCATCCCCGGAGGCGATGATAGCGATGCTACAGCAGAAGCCAACGCAACTTGTGCTGGGATTGCACCATTCAACAGCTTGCAAGGCTGAAGAATTGGCCGCCACTATTCAGCCTGGTCTACACCACACAGCTATGAAGTGGCTTTTTCTGGCCAGTGAATCCCTACTTTTTGGTCTTTTTTTCTTCTTCTTTTTCCCCTCACACACATTACACCACACACTCCGGCATGCATTGGCTGTTGGTAACCACCCAGGAGAATGAAAGAAAAGTCAGAAAGAGTCGGAGAAAGAGAAGAAAGACGTGTGTGACCATAATCGTCGGGAATCGAACCCGCAACCTATCGATTGGAAATCGCTGCACATACCACTGCACCATATGGGATACACACACACATGGTCCTCGTAAACACTGCCATTACGGTCATGTGTCCCCTTGCGGGGCTGACAACATGGAACACACAAACACACACACGAGTGCGAGCGCGCACGCACACAAACACACACACACACACACAGACCTACTAGCCTGTTCCCGAAACTAAGAAACATACCTCCCAGCCTTTTTCATACTCGACCTTAGCTTTCTTGGCTTCCTCTTCCTCAATTTCCTTTTGCCTTTGCCGTTTTCTGCAACATTCAAGCAAGAAAAGACAGCGAAAACTCGCATTTTCAAACTGAGAGAAAACAAGAGCGTCAGTCCGCATGGTCCGAGAAGCCGGCTATTGGCTGCATTCAAATAGGTGTGTGCATGGTGTACTCTTTCTGTTTTGCTTGACCACAACAACTTCACATTCTACCATACCCACACACCCCCCCCCCCCCTCCCCACACGCACACTACCTTTCATTCATCTCCATCATAGCCTTCTCCTTCCTCCGTTGCTGGAAGTCGGCGAACAGGGTCATCACTCGTTTGTGGAACGCCTCCTCGTACTATAGTGGCGACACACGCATGCACACGCACACACATGCACACACGCCCACAGAAACACTTTTGCCAGCGCCAAAAAATGCCATGACACCCAAGAAAAGAAAGCGGTGAAATGGTCATGCCGATTACTCGTCACGTACTGTATAAGCAGAAATATTCGTTTGGAATTTAATTTCGTCTTTTTCGTCCAAGGAACTTTTGGACTAAATTAAATGCCGGACTAATGTCGATTTGTCCACCTTTTCAATACACTCTTATGATCCATGGACGAAATTTTCAACCTGACGAACTCCCTTTCTTTGGAGTTGGACGAAATTATTGACCGACGAAATTTTCTGCCTCTACAGTATAGTACTCGTTATGGTTGTACAGCCGACTATAAGGTTGGCGGCTATAGTGATCAATTCCTCAAAATCATTTTCATTTGCCATAACTAAGTATACACAGTTATCGCGTATAGTAGTAATCGTCTATAGTAATGTATCGCGTATAGTGATCAAATTCATATTTCAAAAGAACCTTATTTCAAAAGACCTTTATTACATTATTTTTCCATCGGTTTAATATACCGTATATTCTCTATTATAAGCACAGGTCTCCATTACTAGCACAGTCTCTAATACTACACCTTTCGAAACATTATAAGCACAGTCTCTATTATTAGCACGGTCTTGGTGGAAATCAATGCTGCATGCATGATATCCAGCATGTATTTCTTCTTGCTCCGTATGGATGTATTGGTTGAAAAAATATAAGCACGGTCTCCAATATAAGCGCGGTCACCAATATAAGCACGGGGTAGAGGGGTGTTGAAAAAATATAAGCACGGCGCTTATAATAGAGAATATACGGTAGTAATTGATGTAAAATCAAGTGGTGTCAGAGGAGAACAGGGTGTTACTTCTTCGTGAAGAACTTACTTGTCCAGTGTTGTTTGGTGAGTTCTGCTTCTACAAGTTGCCAAATATGCCTCCATCGTGAGGAAATGCTGATGTTGTGTGTCAGGAGCTGTAGCCAGCTATGCAGTACGTATGTGTACGGCGCCCTGAGCCATTTGACACCCCACTCGCATACATTGCATGCAGTATCTGTCATAGTAATATATCGCTTATAGTGATAAAATGCTCAAAATCAAACACCAACGCTATAGGCGATACTGACTGTACTCGATACTCGCTAACAGTTGCATAAAGTACTTGCCAAGTACAATTTTCAGACACCAAAATGCTGGGAAACAGGCGGGGCTGGCCACTAAAAAGTAAAAAACCCTTATCGTAATATCAACGCTAAAAAACCGTGTCACTAAGCAGTCTGGCATCTGTGGCCTCAGTATTCTGATCTGCTTTTGATAACCAATTTCCAGTGATCGTTTCATCCCTAGTCTCCTCACAATCAATAACTTCAAAGCGCTTTCACTAGTACTTTCACTGCCTTCTTGTCAGGCGGGATGCAGGCAAACACAAGAAAATGACCAAACGCAATGGATATACACAGTGGTGCTCTGTGATAGAAACAGCACCAGGATGCCTAACCTCTGCAAACAAAACAAATTTTAGACTTAGGCTGTTTGGTAGATCGTCAACAACTCGCCAGTTTCGTCCCTTGGTTGTCTATTGTTGTCGCAGTACATCGCACTCTTGTTTGGTTTCGTCACACTTGCACTTTTTTTGGCATTCCTTCTATATGTATGAGGTTATGCACTTTATCGTGTCATTGTTGTTTACTCTTCGTTGCACTGTTGCTAACTACTTGCATCATATCACCACTGTATAAAAATCCGTTGTGATCAGTCAGTTTGTTAGCCTGTATTCCACCTGATTGAGAAGGCGATAAGTCCTAGTGGAAGAGCTTCGAAAATAATGTTGATTGTGAGGAGTCTGAAGCTTGTTCTTTTCTTCAGTGTCATTAAAAAAAGTCTTAAAAACACTTCGGGATTTTTAGCGATGCACATTAGGACATGCTCGTAGCTGTACTGATGAGGCCTTCATGGCCGAAACAGCTTGCTATCTACAGCATTGATTAGGACATGTAGCGTGTACCAGCGGCCATTAGACCTAACTGCCGGTCTTGCACAGGACACACACACGCCACCTTACGTGGTCCTTGAATCTTTGGGGCCAGTGGGGATATGAAGTGACAGCACATCATGGAAGCCCAACATCGACAACCCAGCAGTCCAATGAATATGAATCAAACCGAACAACTCACCACACGTGGATCGTCCTCCTCCACTCTGTCATCTTTCCCTTCTTTCTTCAGTTTCTTTTTCTTCTTTTGAATCTGCACAGCAAGAGAGGAAAGCAAATAGAAAGTGCGTCACTACACTCGGCACACTCGGTACAATGCAGAGACACTGACCTGTTCACAGAAGACAACAAGATACTGCAGATGCATTGACGAGACTGTGCAGTATCGATTTCAGTTGTCAAGGCGATGGTGCAGGCTCATTTACGTTAAACATTACAGTCCATTTCAAAACTATAGACGCGTAGGGTTTTTGAAATATTTCAAATTTGGCTGGAACGTTTTGAGAATAGTTTTCGGAATATTGCTCGGGACCGCTCCACAATTACTCTCATATAGTTTCTAAACGATTGGATAACAGACGCCCAATTTGGAAAAAATTATGCACAAAGTGATCACAGATTTTATGTGGTATAGATGCTGGCATAACGGTTTTTGCCTAGGTACGCGTCTATAGTTTTGAAACGGACTGTAGAGAGGTTCCGCACTACGTAAAGTTGAGCAACTTTACGTTGGTGGGCGGGAAAAACCCGTGAATTTGCAAGTTTGCACTCCACTTGCGGAAAGTTGTCTACGTAGAGTACGTAGATAGGGCTTTGATAACGTAGCTGGTCCGTAAGTGAATTTGGGGTACAAATTTATGACTCTCCCAGGTCTATCTGGTCGTACACTGCCGCGTTCGGAGTTGCCAAGGGCAGCTACATGATTTGAAAACTCCGTATGGCGGAACACAGACTCGCATGCAGTTTACGCAAGACTTTCCGTAGATCGACTACGTTTTTTTTAGTAACGTAATTACGGTACGCGGAACCTCTCTATTATCTGTACTGTACAGAGTATGAAGTACATGTATGTATCAGGGCACTATGAGCAGCTAGGTGCATGCAGAGTCAAATCACATTCCGAAGAGCTCGAGAGTCCATGAAGGAAGACGCAAGAGAAGTCAGGATCTGACGAGAAGCAGCCAGCAGTATATGTTGGTGTGTATTCAGTATTACAAGGAACGTCATGATACGTCATGATACGTGTACGCCTAACTACATGCATTTTCATTGACCTGCAAACAAACAAAACTTAAGCCACCAAGGTAGCATTCCTCACCTCTGTCTTGAGAAAGCCTTCGGCCTCAACATAGACCTCTAAGCAGGCTTTCTTCTGCTCCTCATCGAGAAGAGTTTCATACGCTTTCTTGACAGCTGCACACCATGAAGACAAGACACACAAAGTGCATGCATGGTGACACAGGGCTTACCAAACACACAAAGTGCATGCATGGTGACACAGGGCTTACCAGACACACAAAGTGCATGCATGGTGACACAGGGCTTACCAGACACACAAAGTGCATGCATGGTGACACAGGGCTTACCAGACACACAAAGTGCATGCATGGTGACACAGGGCTTACCAGACACACAAAGTGCATGCATGGTGACACAGGGCTTACCAAACACCAGAATGAAACCTTGCACTTGGCGGCAGGAAGAAATCGGAAAATGCAAAAGCCAGACTGCACCATTTCGTGAACATTTGGAAAGCATGAACTGATACACTCGCTTCACTACATGGTGCGTGCGTTTATCAAGAAGCCCCCCCCACACAAACACAAAGGCATTTGATGATTGCTAAGACAACATATTTTTTCTCTCTCAATACAAGCATTAGATGAAGTGTTCAAACTCCCAAGTGAACGTAGTACACAGGGCATGATAGAACCATGAGTAAACCCTGTTCACGCACCTTCAAACGCTTTCTGTGCGGTCTCTATACAGTCTGGATTCTTGTCAGGATGCACAAGGATGGACAGCTGCAAAGGAAGCAAAGAAGAAAAAAATTCAACAACGATACAACCATGACATGCTTCAGACGGCAGTCGTGAGTCGGTCAAATGCCAGGCAGCACAAGCGATATGTGCAGTGCGTTATCGCACTATTCGCATAATTATACAAGGCACCGGTACACTAGCAACTCAAGCGCATGCGCCTATGTGAGAGACAAAACAACCCGCAAAAATAGCAACTAACGCAAAAACTCACTCATAAGCGCATGGGCCTTTATGTGCGTCACTACGGTATGCCTACTGTGAACTAACATTAAAGTAGGAAGTGCTATGTATGTCCTCTCTCTTTCTCTCTTTCTCTCTCTCTCTCTCTCTCTCTCTCTCTCTCTCTCTCTCTCTCTCTCTCTCTCTCTCTCTCTCTCTCTCTCTCTCTCTCTCTCTCTCTCTCTCTCTTTCTCTCTCTCTCTCTCTCTCTCTCTCTTTCTCTCTCTCTCTCTCTCTCTCTCTCTCTCTCTCTCTCTCTCTCTCTCTCTCTCTCTCTCTCTCTCTCTCTCTCTCTCTCTCTCTCTCTCTCTCTCTCTCCCTCTATCTGAATGATACTCCCCCCTCCCCCCCCCCCCCTACACACACACACACACACACACACACACACACACACACACACACACACGCGCACACACACATGCAAGTGGATTGCCCGGTGGTACAGTACCTTGCGGTATGTCTTCTTGACCACCGTCTCAGTAGAATCTTTGTCAATTTGCAACACCTGGCGTGCAATAAGCAGAGAGCAGAATGGCAGAGAAGCACAGACAAACGCATTAGCCATCACGATGAATACCGGATGGGCGCTCAGTGCTCACTTACCACTGTAGTACTATATACTCTGATAATACACACTCTGATAATACAAACTCTTGCTTAGTACGGACATTGTCCGGGCATGGGTGTATTGATCCATACTGAAGTATGTCGGGATGAGAAGTATCTTGGATACTAAGTACACTTTCCCGCTGCCCATCGGTAAGAGTCGTATGACTCTTACCAGAGCTCCGCTGTATTTCATTTACACAATCCTTTATTTACATAATCCGCCTGTGCTGACTGCTGGCCTTCCTAGGCCGTGCACATCATTAACGGCAAGAAAAGTCCTCGCGGCCGGTGAGAAACGTACTCCTGTGCCGTTACCAGTGCACACACTGCATGGCTCCAGCAGTGCACAACTCCGTTCACATCGTTTTCAGGATCATGCAATCCACTTCACTGTACAGAGAAGCACATCGTGCGTGGTCTCGACCTCGCATCTTGAATGCATGCATAGAGCTGGCTACATTGAGAGAAAAACGGCGTAGTTCTGAACATGATACGTGACAACTACCGGCCAGCAGCTGCGCACTCTCAGGTGTGGTGTAGTCGTGGCAAACTGAGCCATTCTTTACCGCAATGTGTGCGGCGAGTTTTGACATTCTCTTCTGAAATTTTCCCCGGGAATAGATATACTTACCAACACGTCAAGATATCGACACGCAAACACACGCAAACACAGAATGGCACATGTAATGGATCGCGTGCAGAAAGAGAATGCTGAACATAAAGCTGCATGTGGCATCAATGATGCATGAACATTTTCTTCACTGGCAGAGACCTTGAATACAATGTAGTTCGAGGACAATTGTGACTCTTGTTCATATGCAAACGTCAAACAGTACCAACATCAGACTGCTTGATTTTCCTACACGTGTTGGATCTCTTTATCTCTTACCTCAAATGGGTTCAGATTGAAATATGATGAACCAGGACGAGTAAGGCGAGCTATCTGCTGATCGCTGGTGAGCACAGAATCTCGCTTTTCAATTTCTTTCACCTATTGAAAGAGCATTTTCAATCATTCTCAAATCAGTGAAACATTCCAAGCAATCTTAGAGCCAGATTCGAACTAGTGCAATTCTACCTCAGTGAAGAAGTCTTTGAGAGCTTCATCGCTCTTTGGTTCTCCACTGGTGGCCATGATATTTACAGAACTACATGCCACTACTTTGCAGTTTCTTTCTTGAGTTGTTGTTCCTGGGAGTAAAGTGCCAATACCAACACTCAGTACATGTAGTGCATGCAGCCTCCCTTCGAAAAAATTCGTGCATTCGAAATTTTGCATGGAGTTATGAACTCTTGTCAGGTGGCCGGGTCACGCGCTAGCTCAGAGTCTTCTTTTTTCTCTTTTCCCGCAAAAACCTAAGCTTGCAAGCACGATCGATCCTTTTCGATTTTCTGGATGGATTCGCGCGTTCACCTCTATCCCCATGGAAACTAGCGGCGTTTTTGAAATTTTGGTTCGAACATGATGAGTACCGATCTTTTGGAAGAGAGTTGGAACAGTTTTGTTGCATTTTGAAAACGATCTCACCCCGTCCAAGATCAAGATCCCTTCGCACAAATGAAGTGTTAGCTAAATGTGAGCTGCTCGTGTTACAGCACTCAAGGCTAGGCTTCTCACCACCGGTGTTTGTGCACCACCAACTGTAGTCTTTCCCCGTGCTGACGCTTGGTCCCATTCCGATAATAACAAGGCGTACTGAAAGGTGCCAAACCATGGGAGACCAGTCCGCGGCGGAGTTGCTACCCGCGCTTGAAAACATCGCTTCAAGTAAGTGCCCACTCCTGTGTAGACTTTTCTCTGTCCACTAATGGAGGCATAGAGTAGCGTGAAGGCGAGCAGGTCAGGGCTGTGTGCTTGATATACATGGTGTTGGCGTCCCCTGAGTTTCAGAGAGATGTAGAGACGCGCGGACTCTTGCACCCAAGTTGTACCTTTTGTCCCATTGCGCCAAACCCAAAGGACTCTGCGAATTCTTTCCTTTTGGCTTGTGATCTAGTTTTGTTGGACGTCGCAGCTATCATGGGAATCTACACGTTCCATTCAAATGATTTTTCAATGACGGATAGGCTCCATGACCCTGCCAAATTGCTGTTAGTTGTAGTGATATGTTTGACCTTCTGTGGTGTGGCAGGATCTAGGAGTGCAGGACAGCTTGTAATGTTGTGTGTTTGGCTCCAGAACTTATGCTTCACCAAGCACAGTAGTTTTTTTTATCAGAGTCCAGCTGAGAGTCCCTCATGGTCGTCTCATTCATATTATAATTATCGGTTGCTCTCCCTGAACAAAAAATTACAATCACAACGATAACAAGTCTGATCAATGCGTTTGGTGCAATGCCTGTTCCAACTTCTCCCAGCTGTGGGAACGGTTTCTCCAGTAGATTTGAATTCAGCCAGATAGCATCTCAACGGTCAAATGTGTACACGTACTGTACAACCTTTTGGTACACACTTCACAGGTACATGCACTTAGTACCCAGAAGTACTAAACTAAAGACCTTTTATAGTACTCCATCCAGCACTCCTTGCTTGGTACACACGTACACACACCCATCTCGATCTCCACCTATTTCAAAACCTTGGTACCCAAAATTTAGTATGGATTTAGATACAAAATGCACATACCGTAAATTTATAGAAGAGAAAAGGACCAAGGAACTACAGGTTATGCTATAATGTCCACTAACACCACCAGTTACTTTACAATCAGCTCATGCACTAACATTGCACGACACTGACCGACGGTATTGACATTATAGTGTAACTTGTAGTTCATTGGTCCTTTTTTCTCTTCTATAAATTTATCCTTGGCTCTCCACCCGAGTAAAAAGTGAATCATTTCTGGCGGTCATTCTTCGAAAAGTCTTAAAATGGGTATGTCCCGTCTTGCATCTAAACTCGTCAGGTATACCTTGGCGAAGCGTATGGAGAAGCCGGTCTGAAGCCCGTTTTCATATTTACCCAGGGATGCTTGGTACTTTGACCTTCATGACTGTGGACTTGAGCATGTGTCCAAGTACCTGTACATGAAATATACTGTATTTGCCAAAAAAATCCGGCAAATGCTGCATGCATCGTAGTCAACTACCATGTGCAGCATTGGCCGGATTTTTTGGCGAGTGTAGTAACTGTTCTCGTAAATGGGCATACCAACACATTTACCCTCGAAGATCTGGAGGTGGAACCGAACTGCACGAGAAGTGTGATCCCCACCTGAGTGTTGTGTGAACAATGGACATACCCAGTGCCGCATGGTAGAGAAAGAGCTACGTTTGATATACTTGGGTTGACGCTCGGTATCTGGTGACCATTAGTGATGGCGCTGCCTTCACCGTACCGTACTGCCTTTTGCTCTCTCTCTCTCTCTCTCTCTCTCTCGCTCTCTCTCTCTCTCTCTCTCTCTCTTGCTCTCTCTCTTGCTCTCTCTCTTGCTCTCTCGCTCTCTTGCTCTCTGCGTTTAGTTCTGCTGAAGCGTTGTCACCAGGCTGCAACTATGAAGTGCAAGCCATTGGATCGTTTGACGGAGGATGAGTTTCATGACATTGTAATCGGCTCTGGCTTGATTCCACAGAACAGCATGCACTATGTTCCCTTGCTGCGTAACCTCATGCTTATTGAGATCCAGAAGAACCCCTCTTTACTGGCGACCATGTCGGAATCGCAACAGCCGCTTCAACGCCAGAAGTTGCTGCAACACCAGCAACAGCAGCAACAACAACTTCTTCAGCTGCAACAGCAGCAGCAATTGCAACAACAGCAGCAGCAGCAATTACAACAACAACAGCAGCAGCATTTACAACAACAACAGCAGCAGCAACAACAACAACAGCAGCAGCAACAACAACAGCAGCAGCAGCAGCAATTGCTGGCACAGCAGCAGCAACGCCATCCTATGCAGACGCGGAGCCAGGGCATCCCACTGCAGCATCAGCAGCAAGCAATTAGCAACCCCCTGGACAGTTTATCCTCACCGGAGTCAACCAAGATGGACAGTGATGACAGCTGTGGATCGGAGGGATTTGGCAGCATGACACGTCAGCACGATGACTTGGAAGATGAGCGCAAGTGGCTCAACATCCAGCGCTTGCCGTCCGGCATGTACCGTGTCAACGATCGTTTGTATTTCGACACCAGGACTTATGCCGGGGTAGGTTTCCACTAGTGTGATGTGTTACTAGTGTGTATTTGCAGTAAAACATCCGTATATTGTACCCCCAAAAAACCTGTACTTTATAGTCGGCATGAAATGACTGGTATGTGTAAGGTACGGTCCTACAGTGCATTTCAAAACTATAGACGCGTAGGGTTTTTGAAATATTTCAAATTTGGCTGGAACTTTTTGAGAATAGTTTTCGGAACATTGCTCAGGATCGCTCCACAATTACTCTCATATAGTTTCTAAAGGATTGGATAACAGACGCCCAATTTGGAAAAATTTATGCACAAAGTGATTACAGATTTTATGTGGTATAGATGCTGGCATAACGGTTTTTGCCTAGGTACGCGTCTATAGTTTTGAAATGGACTGTAAAAGAAAATAATATAATAGTTTGTTATGATGTCCAGGTGTCCAGGGTGCTTTGTACTGAAGTGTCGCCGTAGTTTGTTCTGACGTTATGGTTGCTATGGTTGCAGTGGCCTGACCAGGAGTATTTGACTTCAATGGTCTAACTGTGAGGGCTCTGTTTCACTTAACCTTTGTTATATCTTTGGCCTAGCTTAGATGGATTTGCCGTTTCTAATCTGTTTGTTTTTTGTTGTTGTTGCAGTTCAACTTTGTTGGTCGCATGCTGGGTCACGGTGGCTGTACTATCAAACGCTTGGAGAAGCTAACGTTGTGCCGCATGCAGATCCGCGGCAAGGGCTCCATCCGCAACCCTGCTGATGTAAGTGACCAGTAACCCTGTTCGTTTCTGCTTTGCACTTCCTCTCTCCCATACTGATCATGTTTCAATGTATGCACCAGTACACATACAACGGAGGCGAAAGGCTGTGTGGCTCAAAAGCTGTAACTTCAAGTTTCACGTATGTCAGCAATCATCAGGCAGTGGCATCTGTCATTCACCAGTATTCACCAGTGTGTATTTCCCACAGGCAATATTGGTCATTGCGGCATTGTTGAGTGTGGGCCGCACAGGCACACAGCCATGCTCAATGCAGCAAATCATTCACAGCAATAGAAGTATGGTTGGCATGTTCACCTGGAATGAGCGCCACTCCACTTTTAGGTCTTCATGTTAAGAAGAGTGTATGGTGAGTCTTTGACACTCGCACATTGGGCAATCTTTTAATTCTCTCGTGTATTGCCTCCCCCTTCTCTCCCGTAACCAGCAAAAGCGAATGTGTGTTCTGGCCACATCCACATGCGAGCTTGGTTGACATTGCCATGGACGTCCCGATATTAACTCAATTATCATCAATGACATCATACTTCAAGAAGTAGTACGGATCAGTCCTGAACTTGATGCTTTGTGTTCTGCTGGTTTTGTTTTAGGAGGCACGTCTACGCAAGGAGACTGGTCATGAGCATCTCAAGGAAGATCTTCATATCATCTTCGAAGCGGAGGATGTCGACGAAGCCCAGGCAGTGATGCGTATCAAGAATTGCCGTCAATTCCTTGTCCCCTACATGCAGCCCACGGTAAGATGTGCCTGTGTACATGCTGAGTACAGGGGATAGTCCCCGCTGGGATTCGTGTGGAACTGAGATGAAACTCAGCTGATGTGCTATGCCAGTTTTACCTTTATAAACGACAGTCGGTCTACTGGGCATAAAGTGAGTGGAAGGTGCATTCCCAAGTGCACACTCCTCTTTGCCTCCGGTCTTGTTGTTCGTTACGTTTATGATCAAGCGAGGCATTCATTATCAAAGCTGAACTTTGTTGGACTCCTCTACATGCACTTCCAATCCATAATCTTAGTTTTCTTGTTTATGTTCAACTCACAGTCGGAGGAGAGCCTGTCACTGAAAGCTGAACAGGAGCGAGAAGCACTCACTGGTAAGGATTCTTGGTGGCACTTTCCCCTGCACTCACGTTGCAGTCATGCTGTGTACTGGTCTTATATCAAAGCCTGCCGTGCTGGGGAGCTTGTGTAGCAGATGTTCTGACAACCTCTTGCTCGCTCTCTCTATCTCTGTTGGCTATGCTTTGCAGGGAAACTGAAGCTATTGGCTGGTAGCAGTCAGGTGACAAAGTCAACTGAGAGCATTCCAGCAGTCACGCAGGCCGCCACCAGCCTGCCGAAGCCCAGTGCGATTGCCCTGCAGCCTGATGCCAAACCCTTTCAGCCATCCAGCACACTCTCGTCGTGCTTCCCAACGTCCACTGCCGACATGGTGTCCACAACGCAGACCGAGCTGCTTGTGCAGCAACAGCAACGACTTGCGGTGCAAAGCCACTTGATCAACCAGCAGCAGCAACAGCTACAGCAGCTGATTACCAATCAAACTCAACAACAGCAGCTTCAACACAATATGGTGCTGCGTAGTGCACTTGCCCGTAGTACTGCTAGCTCTGGCATTCTCACCGCCGCTGCCCAGCCCACTGTCATGTCGACTACGATGTCGCGTACAGTCGAAACTCAAGCAACGACGATGAGCGTAGGACTGCTCCAGCACTCGTCCTCAAGCAATGAAGACTGTTGCAACTCGACAGTTAATGTCGCCGGTCGTCCGTACAGCCTTCGCCGTGATTCGTCATTGCCTATTCCGTGCGCGACACCGCCCAAGGCTACCTCATCTCGCTACAGCACTGTTGATGATGACTTCATTATGGGCTATGCGGAAACTAGTGACTATGGCAGCTGCTCGGACGGCAGCGGCACTCCAACTGGAACTGACGACGTCTTCCATCGCACTGACTTCTTCGGAAGCAACAAGGAGAACGATGACAGTGGCAATCACATGATGTTGAGGAAGTCATTTGCTCGGACGCCAGGGGCTGGACGCAAGACGAACGTCGGCCCGAAGTTTCGCCTTCGTTCCTCGCCAATCTTCTCGCCCCGGAACAATCTCATGTTGCCCGAGGGGAAGTTACCTGGCTGGTCCCCGCTAGATGGTGGTAAGTTCTGCGTGCTGTTCTGCTTCTGAATATCACCCTGGTTGCACTGCGTGCTGTGCATGATCTACAGGATCTAGAGTTTGCTGCCGGGGTTGTTTTAGTGTACTGCTGCTGTGGCTCTTTGTCTGTTCAGCTCCTTGCTTCTTTGCCTTTGTGCTGAGCTCTAGTTGAAATGTCGGCTGATTCTGATGAGTCTGCTGCTTTGTTTTTGTTGTTGGTTTTCAGGTCCTCTTCGTGTCCTCCGTGACCGCAAAGGCAAGACGCTGTCGTACGAGTCACCAAAGCCGATGTTTTCAACGGGTCGAAGACGCAGCACGAGGCTATCGAACCGAGTCTAGTTGTACGTGAGCATGTGTACGCGGCGTGTGCTGTGTGACATTGTCTTGAGAGTGCGTTTGTTTTAAAGTCGTTCTGCATTGCACACTGGCTGTGACATGCAAGAGTTCTCATCGCCACGAGAATGTTTATACTATTTTTGCTTGTCCTAATTTCCATGTATGTGTAGGCAGTGCTCACACGTACTGTCTATACGTTTTATTCATTGTCTGTATGTTCGTTTCATTTCCTTCTTCATGCCTCATTGAATAGCAATACCCTCCTTCCTTTTACCTCCACCTATATTCCATCCTTTCCCTGGGGTAGCTTAACACTACCCCAGGCAAGCCTTTGTTTCAGTCCCCAGCTTCAACAACAAGTTGTGTTGGAGTGCACATCTGTGCAGTGCCACTCGTGTCCCGCCGTGCGTCTATCCGCCGCTTTTTTTCCCCTGTTGTGTGGATCCACTCCCATTGCCCCTTGCTAACGTTTCCTCACCGTTCTATCTCTGACATTGGATTGGACCCTTGTTGTTATTGTTGTTGTGTTTATGGTCTTTATCGTCACTGTATCTCTATCTCTATGACTGTATCCGATCTGTGCAATGTTTTTAAACTCAATGCAGCGCCCCTTGCACTCTCCAGCCGTTAATTGATCATAACTAACTTAACTCGTGTCACCCATCTTTCAGCCAGGCGTCAGCAAGCTAGCTGTGGGTTGTTCATTTTTTTCTGCTATTAGCATTGTTTGTAAACGATCTCCTCATCTCTCTCTCTCTCTTTCTTTTTTTTCTTTTTTTTTCTTTCTGAGCTATTCATACAGTAACACACTTGAAGAATTAAGTCCTAACAACCATAACTTCACGTTCTTTTCTTTCTTTCCTCTTCAATGGATCTTTCTCAACGACCGTACCCAGATCTATGACTTGAATAAACGTTTGAACTCCGCTTCCCAACACTCCGACCTGAATCGCTTCGTTCCTGTTGTCGTGTGTAGTCTGAGAGAGAGTCCTGTGAATCGATTGCATGTAGTGATAGGGCGCTGTGGAATCTGGTGAAAGTTACGGAACTGCCGACAACATAGTCTTTCAGGTCACAGCTGAACCCATGCATCTGATTTCAGCAACTGCAGCATGTGATGCCTGTCTAGCTGCACACGATGTCCACAGTTCGTTGGCACCATTGAAGTGTAGTGGGTGTGCAGATGTTCATGGCCTGAAAGTACAAAAGCGCAATTTACAGACTTCAAGACAAACATGCAAACTAGTAGGTGTATCCCCCACCATGGCAAGCAGGGAGTCGTAAAATACCGGTATTTTACGACTCCCTGATGGCAAGAGTACAGAACAGTTCTGTTCATGTACTCTTGCCCAGATGAATTATAATTTCTGGGAACTATGAATGATGGAACAACTTAGAACAGAGAAAACAGCACTTCTTTGTACAGGTTGTTTTCGTGTCACCTCCAAAGACGTTTGAGCCAGGGATCCGGGAGTTGTCGAATTATGGTATTCGACAACTCCCTGGTTTGAGCTATCTTTTTGACTTTCCAAATGGTCTGAGTAAACTCACTGAGCTTCTCTTTCCATGGCGAGTATGGGGCTGGGAACTGTACAGGCAAGCACATTATACTACACATGCGACACAACATCACAAATCCTGCACAAAGTATGTTGTTACTGATGTTTCTTTGTTCAATTTCCAGAACTTCTCAGAATAATAATGTGGAAACAGCGAGAGGTGGAGACAGAGACAGACAAAGAGAGAGAGAGAGAACAAGCGCGTAAATATGAAGCTTCTCCGCGGTGGCCAGATGCATATAGAACTGGCATGCGTATTTACAGTGTAGCTCCGACCATGATATGCCTGTAGACACGAATAAAAGGGAAACTCCTTTTATGTTAATGTACTCAAATGGTAAGTCTGACAAGTAAAAACAAGGAGAGTATGAAAGAGGTCGCATAATGAAAGAGGAGTATGTATTTGCAACTGGTCCCTACAGCAACCTCTCTTCTCTCTATGTACACTCCACCCATGTGAGCACCCCTCACAAGTAGTATTCCGACACAAGCCTGTGCTCAAACGAGCCAACCAGACCGATAAAAAATTTAAAAAAAAAGCGACACGTAATCTAAAATGGGGGAAAAACCAATCAGCCCTATAACAACCTTGGAGAGCACGTAGTCAGGGGAGCGTGATCAGGAGCGTGATCAGGAGCGTGATCAGGAGGTATCACGCGCCGCCCCTACTGACTCCTGCTCCAGGCGCTGTATCAAGCTGATGATGTCCTGGCGCTTTCGGCCCACGGTCTCCTGGGAGAACCAATCGGCAATGTGAAGCGGAAGACGGTAGTTCTGGATGGGGCTCTAAAACACCAGACACAAAAGAAAAGAAAGCACACACTGTGTGGGTTGCGGTTGCAACAAGAAGGATTCATCATGATAAACGACCGTCCAGGGTGTGAGACAATAGAAGCTTTGCATTCCTGATTTCGGAAACCTTTCGGCAAATATTTTCAGAAGTTATTCTAATATTCACCAGTTAAGGGAATGAAGAAGTTAGAAGTTATTCTAGTGACCATTTTAAAAGATGCGTGTAGGTTTTCCAATCCGAACAGTGGAACGACATTAAAATATTTCTATTTTACCTCTTTCTTCAGACTGCAAGCAAAGCAGGGAAGCGTACACACTTTGTCCGCCGCTACAAGCTTCGTACGACCGTATATAGCACTTCTTCGAGTACCGATGGGGTGTTCCACGACGCGGAACTTGTTTCCGGGGACAGGTCATCTTTCGTCGCAGACTTTCTGAAAGGTCAACTCTATTGTTGGATTTTCCTCCCTGTTTCCTGCATGTGAACATGTGTCCAAATACTTGCAGGGCTTGAACGGACTATGTCACAGGCAGCACGGAGTCATGACAACGCTGCCATTCGGATCCACTTGCACCCAGTTTGGGTATGGATCCATACACGTGTGAGGGTGGTATTCATTCACGGCAGGGTGACACATCCGCCCGGAGTGACCGGACTGAGTCCTCCCGGTCGGGACCCTCTCCAGGTACAGAACAATTTTACACCTGCATGCGACATGAGAGGCCTACTAGTACCCACTGCACTAGTGTACGTTGCTATGGGCAGAGTGGATCCATGCAGATCTATACACTAGTGTGCCTTGCTATGGGCAGAGTGGATCCATGCAGATCTATCACTAGTGTACCTTGCTATGGGCAGAGCGAATCCATGCAGATCTATACACTAGTGTGCCTTGCTATGGGCAGAGTGGATCCATGCAGATCTATACACTAGTGTGCCTTGCTATGGGCAGAGTGGATCCATGCAGATCCATAATTATGCAGAAGTCATTTAGGGGTCATCCAGCATTATCGATAATTTTCACGAAACGAAAAAGTTTAGTTAGGACCCTCACATACCACTGCACCATACGGGACACACACACACACGCACACGCACACAGGCGTGCACACACACACACACACACACACACACACACACACACGCGCGCGTACACACGCACACGCACACACACACACTAAATCACAACACAGAGAGCTTTTAGAGGTGACGCACCTGCAACATGCTCTCCACATATTGCAGCACAAACACACCGCAGTCACAGAAGTTGTCCTGCTGCGGCACCTGCATGGCAGACAGCACATACAAGAGACGGAACAGCAAGTAGCTCAACATCAGGCACATGTACAGTAGTACATATGGGATCCTGATAATTCTGATAATTCGAACCTCAAACTAGGGATGGCCGGTTATAATCAGAAGTCCCCCAGAATCCACTTACCGGTACATAGAAAATGTGTGGGAAATGTGCTGATAACTCAAAGTTAGCAAAGTATAATTCAAAGTTGACTGCACATCATGCAAGTCAGTTCAGTGTGCATGAGCAGGCTGCACTGTCCGTGAAACCTGTGTCGAAGTATCGCAAGGTGCATGGCGAAACTCTGAGTGAAAAGGCGAGCTTTTTGACATGCACAACGACGTTACGTGTTGTGGGTGCAAGTTTGGGTAATTGAATGTCCGGATAATTAGAAGTTTTCTCTGGTATTTTGGGGTTCGAATTATCAGGATTCCACCTGTACTGGCAAATGGCTTTGTCTGTTTTTCACCTTCAGGACACGAGATATCACCCTATGTGTACTAAGCAACAAATGACCACTCATTGGTGCAGTATTAGCAAGAGTACATCATGTTATGTGCTCTTGGTATTAGCAAGAGTACATAACCCCCCAGAGTGTGCAACTCCCACATACCCTGCTGTCCCGACAGAATTTCAAGTTGACGCCATTATTTATGACGCAATGCTCTTTGCACCAGTGATTTACAACATGTGTACGGGTGTCAACGCATCACACGTTTTTCTTTGCAATAATTCGTACAGGATCGATCGGCTTCGGTCAACCACAGGTTCCGGATTCGTCTGATAATCCGTGTACAGTGTGCATTGCATCATCAAAATGACGTCAACTTGAAATTCTGTAGGGACAGCACCCATAGTGGAGTTGCACACTCTGGGGGGTTATGTACTCTTGGTATTAGGTATACGAGCGGCCAGCGACTACAGGGTCAGATTTTTAAATCAGACCCAGTCAGTGTTGCTGGCTGCTTGAAAAAAAACCAGCACACGGAGGCATTCACTTCACACCCCGTTAGCAGAGCTTATCTCACCTTGGGATAACCACTTTTCATGGTGGCGGCGTTGAAGGGCCGCGGACTACCTTTCCTGGCTGCCCACTCCTCTGCAAGATAGCTGCTCACACAACACACAAGAGACAGCCAGACGGCCAGTAAGTCTAAAAAGAACGAATCACAAGACAGACAGACAGACAGACAGACAGACAGACAGACAGAGCGAGGGAGAGAGAGAGAGAGAGAGAGAGAGAGAGAGAGAGAGAGAGAGAGAGAGAGGAGAGAGAGAGAGGAGAGAGAGAGAGGAGAGAGAGAGAGGCCGAGGAGAGAGAGAGAGAGAGAGAGAGAGAGAGAGAGAGAGAGAGAGGAGAGAGAGAGAGAGGCCGAGGAGAGAGAGGAGAGAGGAGAGAGAGAGAGAGAGAGAGAGAGAGAGAGAGAGAGAGAAGAGAGGAGAGAGAGAGAGTCAGTGTGAGGGAGAGTCAGTGAGGAAAAGGCAGTCGAGATGACAGTGAATACCTTCTCAAGTTAGCGATGACTCTATTCCTGTAGCGACTTCCAAGCGAATCAAACAGTAAGATGCATGGCCTGAGGAGAGTCAGGCAAGTACAGCCATGTACACACATACACATACACACACCACGGACAGACAGGCATCAGTGACTAAGACAATGTTCCTGTAGGTCATACAATCGGGAAATAGTCCACTCCCCTCGGGCTATCCAAGGACAAAGAAAGAAAGAAAGATAACACTACAATTTTTTTGTATTTTTTTGTAGAAACGCAGGCAGGTCTCCATCACGATCAAACAGTCAAACATACAGTACAGTACTGTCGGGTGCCGAAGAAGGGAGTGCCGAAGAACGGAGTGCCGAAGAAGGAAGTGCCGAAGAAGGGAGTGCCGAAGAAGGGAGTGCCGAAGAAGGGAGTGCCGAAGAACGTAGTGCCGAAGAACGGACAGGCTAGAATTTCACCAAGCCCAGCATAGCGATATATGCAAGATGACTCTACTGGGCATAGACTGCTATACATGAAAATAAGAACGGTCCAGGCTACGGGGCTGACCCCACAGTTCTTCGGCACCCGGCAGTACTGTTCCCAGGCGAAAAGGTGCTACATGTACCGCATTATCCGGGCCATTACCCGCCCTAGCGTCGGTGCTGCCGTCAACCCCGTGAATAACGAGTCTAATGAAGTCTGGCACAACAACTCGCGAATAACAACACAATTTTCAGACACTTAGCGAACATTTGACTGCATACGTTTAATCCTATGAATAACAACTCGCCAACAACGTCACTTTTCTCATGCACGGTCGAGGGTGGCTATTCGCCAGGTTGACTGTATCCACATGCAAGATGCAACACTTACTGAGACTTAATTGCAGGTTTTCTCAATCCGCGACCATTTCGCCTCCTTTTCAGTGTCGATGCTGGTCTGGCCACCTCATCCTCCTCCTTGCAATGGAATAAAGAAACAACATAACATGCCGACATAGAGATGAGACAATCACGAACAAAACAGGAAAAAAAGTATGATGGATTTTGAAATTTCAGAAAAAAGTTGTTTCACTCAGGTGTCGAGAACTCAACAACTCCATTTCCATGCATCTGCTCTCCACTCCACTCCCATTCCACAAACACACACAAACACACACAAACAAACAAACACACACACACACACTCACACCACACACACAAACACCAACACACACGCAGGAAAACACACGCACACACACGCATGCACACACGTACGCATAGAGGTTGAAAGGCGCGTCAAACGGTGCTGACGAGCTAGCACGTACATCACACTGGTGCAGATAAGTAGTTTCCCCGCACACTACCCTGGCTACATGTGTATGTGACATGGTTGCTGCAGCGTGTGCGTGCATATGCTCCAGTAAATTAACAAAGTACCCATATGCTCCAGTAAATTAACAAAATACGCCCGCACAGCTTGGTACAGTTGCCAAAAAGATGTAATACCGTACTGGCAATATATGTTGCCGCAGTGAGGCCATGAAGCGTTACATTGGCACATGTTTGCCGCACGCAGGGCGTTACATGCAAAGTCGCACAGGAGCCGTTACACAGGTTTCTATATTGCCGCAGTCCTTTTTTTTGCTATTGCCGCATCACTTTTTTGCTATTGCCGCATCATTTTTTTGCTTTTGCCGCATCATTTTTCTTGTGCAGTGCAAACTGCAATGAAAAGATCGCCGCACCCCGCCGGACGCGCGTTACGAACTCAACGAAAATTTGTCGCACTAGCCTGGTCGCGCGTTACGCCGCACCCCCCTGCGTTACGCGTTACGCGGCAACATATATTGCCAGTACGGTACTCACTGTTGCTGGCTTGTCAAAGTCATAACAATGTGGCCAGTTCTGCACGTCACTCTTGTCGGGAAGCGTCTCGGTAGAAGCAGCAGCAGCAGCAGTAGCAGTAGCAGCATCAACGTCACAGGTCACGGAGTCTTGATTAGCAAAAAACGAAAAGTTTGCGTCGAGCCTGTCGCGCTCCTCGTTCGTCCTCAGGACAATGGTGCGGCCGAGGGATTTGCTGATGGTGATGAGAGGTGGAGGGGAACTACTTTCACTGCACACTAGTACCGCATCGTCCACAGACACAACAGCACGACTTGACGTGGTGTGAGTAGAAGAGTCATCAATGGTTAATATACTATCTAAGGAGTCATCCACCAGAACAGTGGAAGTTGTCCGGTGCAGTTGCGCTTGCGCTGCGTTGGAGATTGTTTCAGTGGTAGACATGTATTTCTCCTCATCGCTCTCTTCACTTTCCTCTCCATTCTCATCTTGGTCGCCGTCACATTCTCCGGAAGTGTCCCACGCTGCAGCATGTCGCCAGCACGTAGTGCGCAGGGCAAGGTAAGAATAGCAACAGCAACACATGCACACACCATGCGCACACACACACACTCACAGACACATACATTTGCATGCACGCACACATACACACACACACACGCACACACACACGCACACGCACACACACGCACACACATACAACCACACACACCACACAAACAAACAAACACATACACACGTGTTAGGTTCACGACTCGCACACTCGTACGCACTCGCACCCTCGAACTCACCTTTACAGGCGCGCACTCACTTTCACTCTCGTACTCACCTTTTCGGGCGCGCACTCACTTTCACTCTCGTGCTCACCTTTACAGGCTAGTCAACGTTGTTCCAAAATCCGTCACGATCGAAAATCTCGCGCTAGTCCATTGAATGTAGGTGACCGAGTTTGGTTACATCGACATCCGCCGCCTCAAGTTTCGCCTAAATTTTTCAAATATTGGTCGGGACCTTGGGAAATTGTAAAGAAACCGACAGACGTTACGTATACGATTGAACCTCGATTTGAGAGTCCTATCCGCCACCGGCCTTGCACAGTCCATCGAAATCGCCTTCGGAAATGTTTGACACAAATGGGACCTGCTGCACGAACACCGCTTGCTGCGCCTACACGAACAACTCTTGCTGCGCCTCCGCGACCAACACTTGCTGCTCCAACACACACGTACAATACTCGTTCTCGCCCTCCGACTTAATTTAATATTCTTTACCGATAAGTGTCCTTTAATTCGGTGTTGTTTTGTTTGGTGTGTGTGGTCGGTTGTTTTGCTTCGTTGTTCTCGTCCTGGGTGTGGGGCTCCACTCATCACCATTATAGCGAGTATGTCTCTTTCGCCTGATGAGGAAATGGCAGCAGCCCTCTTGCTTCCGCTTCCGCCGAATTCGCCGCCCTCGTCTCCTCCGCCCCAAACGCCGCCGCCGCATCCGAATTGCGCCATGCTAGAGCCATGGGATATCTCACCATGGGGGACGCCGCCGGAATTCGATGACTGGGTGCGGCAAGCACCGTCACCGCCGTCGCCGCGGACGCCCGTACTTCCATCTCCACCACCGACGCCCGGACTAATCAGGCCGGCACGCCTGGGCGCCGCGCGTCGCCACCTTATTATCCCACCGCGCCCTCCATCGGCAGAGGAACTAATAACGGCTATTCGCCAGCGCCTGAATATCCGCACTTACCGACCACCGCTCCGACGACCACGCCCACAGCCTCGACAACGACCACGAACGATACGCCCGACGATACGCCCGACGAGACACCGATACTTTGACGCCGACGTTCTCCCACCGCACCGCCTTATTATGCCGACCATGCCCCGCCACGCACCGTACCGTCACTGGACTGGCCCTCCACCCAATCGTCGTCCTCGTTATGTGTTTCCTCGTCGGGGTCCGGTTTATGACCACTCCCCCCGTTGGTTTGTCTGGTGATGTCCTGGTCCTGATTGTCTGTCTAATGTTGTCCTAATCGTTTTTTGTGCCGACTTGTAGTCATTGTGTTTCCCTTGCCATGTTGTGTGTGCGTTGTTGTTGTTGTTTTGTGGGTGCGTTTCTTTTTCTTCTTTTTTCTATTTTTGAACTTGCGGGTTGTATCATTTGCGCGTGCGGGTTTTTGTGTCTTGTGGGTCTTAGTCCGTTTGTCCCGATGATGTTGCTCGCGCGTTTACTCTTTTCTGAGCGAATGTGCAACTGAGGATTGTCTCGTGTACGAATAATTCTTTGTCGCTTCCTCGCAGATCGACGGAGTTCGCCTCGCCATGCGTTTGCTTGTTCCCTTACTGTTTAACGCCTACTGACATTCCTGTTTTTGTTTCTAGTATACAGCCCGCATTTCGACAGATTTCGCCACGCCATGCGCTCGCCTGTACCTTTGTTGTCCACCGTTATGCCTGTGTTTTGTTTGCGTATATGTGTGTGGACGTGTTGAATGTGCGGACAGGCGCTTCGGAAGTTGTCTTCCGGGGTGCCTGTCGTTTCTTCGTCGTTGTCTTTTTCCTTGGTGTTGCGTGTGCGGGCAGGCGCTTCGGAAGTTGTCTTCTTCCGGGGTGCCTGTCGTTTCTTCGTCGCTGTCTTTTTCCTTGGTGTTGCGTGTGCGGGCAGGCGCTTCGGAAGTTGTCTTCCGGGGTGCCTGTCGTTTCTTCGTCTTCGTCCTTATCGTTATTCTTAGATCGCCTCAAGAGTTACAACATTGTATGCATCTTAAATATTGATTACATTCATGATTGTGTTTACTACTGTTTTAACTATTTTTCTTGTTCCCTCAGCAATTATTCGCAGGTCAATTTAAATTTTTTTCCCATAAATGTCTGTATATTCGAGCTATTTGCAATTTTTCCCCTTCCTTTTCTCCACGTGGACGCGGAGTCTTTTTCAAGCAGGGGTGGTATGTTAGGTTCACGACTCGCGCACACTCGTACGCACTCGCACCCTCGAACTCACCTTTACAGGCGCGCACTCACTTTCACTCTCGTACTCACCTTTTCGGGCGCGCACTCACTTTCACTCTCGTACTCACCTTTACAGGCGCGAACTCACCTTTTCGGGCGCACACTCACTTTCACTCTCGTACTCACCTTTTCAGGCGCGAACTTACCTTTACTCTCGTACTCACCTTTACAGGCGCGAACTCACCTTTTCGGGCGCGCACTCACATTCACTTGACGTACTCACCTTCACAGCCTCGTACTCACCCTTGTTGCTTTTCCTATTCTTTTCTTTCTTTGGCCTGGGTAGCTGGACTCGCGCTTTAGCACATTTATCTCCATAGCTACCCAGGCCCTAGATAAGCTCTTGCTGGAACATTTGCTCGCCCCTTTTCTACCCCCTTCTAGCCTTGCCTAGCCTTGTCTTGCTTGCCTTGCCTGGTCTTTGTCTTGCTTGCCTTACCTTATCCTATACCGAACCTTTGAGATTCCTTGTCGTTGTCGACTTGATCCGATCGTCTAACTGTGGCTGTGCCGGTCCTAACACACGCATGCATGCATCAACTTGAAAGTGTACCGATGTGTCACTTCATAGTGGGAAGAGTACTTGCTATGGCAACCTTCTGTCCACTTTCCTCGCTTTCAAAATCTCTTTGGGCACTAGCTACACATTACACTAGGAACAAAATACTACAGTCCATTTCAAAACTATAGACGCGCAGTGTTTGGAAATATTTCAAATTTGGCTGGAACCTTTTGAGAATAGTTTTCGGAATATTGCTCAGGTCCGCTCCACAATTACTCTCATATAGTTTCTACTAAGTAAATGATTGGATAACAGACGCCCAATTTGGAAAAATTTATGCGCAAAGTGATCACAGATTGTATGTGGTATAGATGCTGGCATAACGATTTTTGCCTAGGTACGCGTCTATAGTTTTGAAATGGACTGTAGTACACTTGTGACCAAAGCGTAAGCCCTTATTTCATAGCCACGCAACACAAAAACAATGCTTTGTCTCAAGAACTGCAGAGTCTCAACAAGCAAGCAATGACACCGCAGCTGTCGCTTCTGTCCGAGATCTGTTCGTCCTCGCTTTCACGTCAAAAATACCGCAGCGAACATCACAATAGAGTAGTTGACGTACCGTCTGCAGCTGGAGCGCCGGTGCATGGAGTTAGTACTTCTTCGTCCATCCGCTCAAGGCCGTCATCGTCACTGTCACTGTCACCGTCGGAAAGTATCTGCCTGGAATAATTGCGGGCTGATACGCTGCTAGTTTCCGGTGTTGTTGGACTTGTGTCCATCCTACTGTCTGACGGTGAAGAGGCACCATACCGATCCTGCGATGGAACATCAGTGATCACGACAGGATTGAGAGTGCGCACTAGCGGACTTCCGTCATCGCTGTCCCTGGTGTCTTCGTCGGGAACCTCTTCCGCATCGCTAGGTGAGCTTAATGCTGAATGAGAACCACCAGTGGAGACACCATTATGGTTGTGAGAGTGTTCCGCATGATCTGCATCCATGTCCATAGGACTAACATCAGCTGCCGTGTTTACCGACTGCTTCGATTCGAACACAGGCCCATCCGCCCCAGGAAAGCAGATCACGGCCAAGTACCAATGGGCGCTACACACAGCAGGACAGGCAAGACACAGACACATGTATACAGTGCACACACACATATGGGTGAATGCACAAACACATAGACAAACACACAGACAAACACACACACACACACACACACACACACACATGGGTGAATGCACAAACACACATGCACACACACACACACACACCTTTGACCTTGACCTTTTGACGCCCATCGCCGGAGGCGATGATAGCAATGCTACGGCAGAAGCCATAGCAACTTGTGCTGGGATTGCACCATTCAAAAGCTTGCAAGGCTGAAGAATTGACCGTGTGACACACACACACACACACACACACACACACACACACACACACACACACACACACACACACACACACACACACACACACACACACACACACACACACACACACACACACACACACACACACACACACACATCTGGGTGGTCGGCATACCAGTAGGTCGTGCAGCAAGGCAGATGTTGTTCAGTGTGAGATCCCAATTGCACAGCATACAGAAAACTGTGTTGCACTGGACTTAGAAGTCACTGAAATGTGTGCAGGAACCTTACTGTTCGTTGATGGGAATGAAGACAAAGTCCTTGTCGAAGATGTCGACATTGCGTGTCCACTTCTTGACCCTGTCATGCATCTCTTGATGCGAGTTACTACAGTGCAGACAGAGCACAAAGGACAGGACAACCATGAAATACACAGAACACGCACAGAACACACACACGCACACACGCACGCACGCACACACACACACACAGTGCAAGGGAGGGTGCTCATCATTATACTGAAAAAAAAACATGATACACAGCAGCTGTACATGTATATGGATAGCACAGTCATTCAAAACAGCAACCTACCTTATCCCCACTAGGCCACCACTCTTTGCCGCTGAACGCGTCGAACCACCGGCCTGGCGCTGTGTAAGACGTCGGTAAAAGAACGAGTTGAACATGTGCACCTTGGCCTGTTTCTCCTCCGGCAGCTCATGAAAGAGATACCTGTTGGGCAAGAGTAGAACTGCTCAGCTTCATCTGTTTTTTTTTAATACACAACAGCACTCGCTCACTAACTCAATGCACACATCCATACAAGCATACAAACACACGCATGTGCGTGCGCACACTCCCTCCCTCCCCACCGTCACACACACTCTGTCGTTCTCTCTCCCTGGCTCAAACACACATACATGATCTATTTGTTGAGGTAACTCGACAGTAACAGAAAGGCACAAGAAGACGCCAGGAACCCTGTAGCTATTGCAGTTAGCAGAGAACTGACAAACGCACGCACATACGCACACACATACACACGCCCCCCCCCCCCCCACACACACACACATTCTGATACACATCCAGGAACACAGGCAACTGCACTAACTTGAGGTAAAAGTCGATGATAATGTCATTCAGGAACTCCTGCGGCTGCAAGCAAAGAAGATCATTGCTCGTCACCGTGATCCCACCGGTCTGTGGCAGGGGTGGGTATGTCAACAGCCTGCAAACAGCAAACAAGTATACTGTATTTTACCGGTTGTAAGTGGACCTCCAGACTTGGGGCTTTGATTTACCGGTTTAAGGGCAGTTATACCCCGGTTGTAAGTCGACTTCCCCTTTTTAGGTCGGGTTTTGGGTCATTAAAAGGACATATAACCGGTAAAATACGCTATGTGATTCATTGAGGAAGGATGAAGCTATTTGATTCATTCAGCAAAGATGAAGCACGACCATAGTGCTTTCCGTACAGGGCGCAGGAACAAGACTAGTGTAACACTGGGGCAGACTATCTTCAGAAATAACAGAAGAGTCAATGCATTGGAAGATTTGATAGAGAGCAGGTGATCACACCAAACTAATATCTATCCACCCTGCATTAGGAAGGCGGCTGCAACCTCTAGCCGTCCGACTAAGAAGAACGCAGGAATGCCGATACATGTATCAACGAAAGCGATGGGAGAGAGAGAGAGAGAGAGAGAGAGAGAGAGAGAGAGAGAGAGAGAGAGTGAGTGATGCCCTGAGCATTGCAATGTTACTTACTCTCGTGGATTGTCATCTGGAATCGGTTTTACGTAGTCCTGAGGCAGGGTTGAGATGGAGGATGAGACCTTCGATGAGACCCTGGCAGGAACGTTAAATTCATAGTCCGTATGCAACGTATTCACGCGAGTGGAGCGTCGGGTAGCTGTGAGAAGAGTGGCAGTGCACAAGGTGGAGAGTCAAGGAGTGAAGGGACTTGCTTGTTTGTACTGTACACGCAGATCTGTCAGTGTGGGTTGGCAGATATGCACGAATGTCTGTCTCCATCACAGAGTGTGTGTGTGTGTGTGTGTGTGTGTGTGTGTGTGTGTGTGTGTGTGTGTGTGTGTGGGTATGTGTGGGTGCACGTGCGCGCGCGCGTGTGTGTGTGTGTGCGCGCGCGCGCGCGTGAGCGTATGTGTGTGTGAGAAATTTGCCAGGTGCTCACAAATGCGAGAACTCCAATCAAGGGCGGAGTAATGCACAGGTTACGGTTACTGTCTTATAGCTAAAATATGGCAACAGCGGGTACAGTACCCAAATGACAGTACATGTGTCATATTATTCATTGTCTTGCATGGCAAACCAGTGTCTGTGACATCACTCAACACTAAACACGTTGAATGCCAACATCACGGCTTAATCACAGCACACAAATACTTCACCCTTCCTTGCATGTGGTTGGCATTGCTCACAATGGTTGGCTGCGCCCGGACCTGGGCAGCATCTACACTTCACAATGGTACTACATGTAGAGTGTACCAGCAATGTATCATAGAGACTGGAAGTGACTGTCTCTATATCACCAGCATGCTTTTAAAACTAGTCTATCATGAAACGTAAAATGGACCATATTGAGTGACCCTTACATCGTCGTATTGGAGACGACCATGGGTCAGAAAGGGAGGGCGTAGTAGAAGAAGCCACACTGCTGCTGCCGTAGAACGATTCCGGCTGCGACATGTAGGGTTTGGCCCCTAGCGATGCCTGCTGGGATCTTGCATCTGCCACAGCTTTTATTGCGCCTTCCCCTCTCACACTGAGAGAATCAGTGAAAGCTATCACATGAGACGCGCTGTACAGATGGCACGGCACAGTACAACACACACGCCCACCCACACAAACACACCCACACCCACATACTTCAAGTGCGTGTATATATTACACACACATTTGTGTCCCTTACAAAAGTGTTCTCTACCTTGTGTGATCTGCTGTCATTATCGTATGTACTAGTAACTGTTGCACACAGCAACAGAGAGATGAAGATGTGCATCATACACCTCGGGCGGACGTGTGCGTGTCTGTGTGGGGTAAAATATGATTGTGTACGAGTCACGACTCATTCATCGGATTATATGTTATGTTATCTTTAGTTTACGTTACCATAGGTACAGGCATTGTTACCATAGGTACAGGCATTGCAGCCTTCTTGACGTTACCATGGGTACAGGCATTGCAGCCTTCTTGACGTTACCATGGGTACAGGCATTGCAGCCTTCTTGCTGAGGATCATGAATGATATCACAGCTCTTAGGCTATGATGGTAAAAGTGTGCGGAATAGGACAACAAAACAGGAAACGTCCTACAGCAGGGTATTCACCTCATCATACTCCAAGTCTCAGGTGATAGTTTGGCATTGCAGCTGTCAGCCTGCACACAACACACAGCAGAGGATTACGAACAGCACGGCATGGATTTCAATTGCCAGGTACCGTCCACACACGCACAATCTCCACACATACCCACACTCTTCACGACCCTTTCGCAATACAACTGCAATCTTCCTCATCATCTCTTTGCGTTTCGTTCTTTCTTTCCAACTCTTGTCTCTCCTGTATCCATGGATACAAATGTTATTGCTGTCTAGTAAGCGACGGGTGTCGAAATCATGCAAGACAATTTTGATGAAGTCACTTGCAACTGTATCCTTTGCCATAGAATTTTATTTCATTTGTATTTGTGTAACAAGTTGCAGCACAGTCACGGGAAAGAATCCTACAAAGGCGTACCTGCTGCCTGAATATACCACCTTGAAACCACTGCAAGAAGGACAAGCATATCTGATCTTTAGCCTCAAATTATGAAAATTTTAGGACGAGTCTTGGCCAGTGATTCGGTATACGCTTTTAGTACGCATTGCATTGGTTCACATAATCACAATCCGCTGGGAGAGGTGGCAAGCAGCACTCCCGGCCCGGGTACATACCGGTGATACGTGATAAACCAACACTAACTCACATTTACACACCAAAGCACACACACACACACACACACACACACACACGGGCAGTGCACGCCAATACTTACAATAGACTGCATGTTGAGCTGTTCGCTTTCACTGAGCGGCGCAGGCAGAAAGAAGGTAACATACGCCAAATCTGCAAAACACAGACACACCCAGACACACCCAGACACATCCAAACACATCCAAACACAGACACATTGGACACAAACTTGAACAGTTCAAATTGGTGTGCACCGGCAGCAAAACCTGTCAAGGAGGCCACGCCAGCAAGGCAGCCACTTCCCCCCAAAGCAACACTGTTACACTAGAACCAGGACCAAATGGTATTATGTCCAAACGACCTGGATAAGGGGGCCAAACGACCTGGATAAGGGGGCCAAACGACCTGGATAAGGGGGCCAAACGACCTGGATAAGGGGGCCAAACGACCTGGATAAGGGGGCCAAACGACCTGGATAAGGGGGCCAACGACCTGGATAAGGGGGCCAAACGACCTGGATAAGGGGGCCAACGACCTGGATAAGGGGGCCAAACGACCTGGATAAGGGGGCCAAACGACCTGGATAAGGGGACTGGTGCATATTACTTTTCTTGGGGAGGGTGCATTCAGCAGTTGGCTTAGCCACGTTTCACTGCACTGGAGTTTGAATGTAACTGGCCTAGAACAGCATGCAGCGTAAAGTACGTTATATCTTGCGTATGCTCCATTCACACTGACTGAATGAGCTGTCAGCTGGCTGCTTCTCCAACCCTCTACCGCAGTGCACTGTGAACAGGGCAGGAGAGACCACTCCGTTCTCGTTCTGCTGCGGTTATTTCATGCTCTGTAGTGAAGTGTAGCGGCAACTTTAATACAGCGCGCGCTGCAGTAACTCTTCAGAAATTGTTATATTCGTTCTTCCCTCGCTTCAGACCGACTGGCACTACAGGTGAAATGCAAGCTACAGTTGCGCTCGGTGAAATCCGGCACAAAGTGCAAAGCTGGCACCCTGGACCAGGTATGATCACATCACCGTATTCGTATTATTTTGTACATGTGTACGTCCTGCCAGATTCGTGTCAATTCCACAGGCGTCAAGGGCCGTGCAAGTTGAATGGGCCAAATATGCACTCTGGGTCGTTTTTCACCGAGTGCAACTGTAGTTGTAGTCTGGAAAAGATGATAAACTGCTGCCATATCATATGAAGGAGGACCCTAGCACTCACCATCACACATCTCCGGATTCAATACTTCCTTCTTGAAAATAGCCGGAGTGCGGGTCCGCATCTGAGTTGCGCCTGCCGGTGTGAGCCTCAAACGCAATAGGTGCGTCGTGGGCTCCGTACAGGCTCCATACTGAGCAAACAATCAAGCAGGAACTTCAATAAAGACCTTGACGGCAGTCAATGCTATTTTCAAAGCAGAGTGCCATCACCATCATGTACAATATAGCCACTTGAACTACATTGTGCAATGTTATATCAGTGCTATGAACAGAGTACCGGTGACAATACCTCCATCGCAGGCCAGGTGCAATACCCAGCGAGCTTGCCATGTGCTATGAACAGGCAAAGTCACACGATTGTGATGCCAGGAGTCACTGGACAGGGAGAACTACTGTGCATGTACATCTCGCCGCAGCGACCACTTACGTCCCATTTTATTACGGTCTTGAGTTGGACTGTGACAGCGAAATCGTTATCATCTACTTCCACTGGAAAGGGTAAAGCATCGACAGCACCAACAACAGCAGCAACATCAATGGCAACACCAGCAGCAGCAGCAGCAACAAGACCAACAGCAGCAGCCGGAACAAGAGCAAGAAGAGCAAAACAGAGTGATCGACAGCAAAGAGTAAAAAAACCCAAAAACGGCTGTTTAGGACATAATGAGTTTTACACATCCTCTAGAAACACAAAGATTACAGAATACAGATTCATGCCAAGAAGGGAGTTAGGCCACTCCATAGACTGCAGTACATCTACAGCAAAACTGTGAGTTGTGTGTGACCCTTGCATCAAGGGTAAACAAACTTCAGCTATGGGGATACTGCAAACCCAGAAACGTTTGTGTCGGTTTCAGTTCGCGATTTGACAAATTTGTACCCGAAAATGTTTGCGATTAGAGTCAATTTCCTCAGTTTCTTTACTGCAGTTCTACGTTTCGTTACCGCGAAAACTCCACAAATTCGTTACCGAGTCAACACAGCAGCAGCAATTACCTGCCATTCGGAATCTGATACTGGATTGTAAGCCCTCTCCCTCCTACAGGTGACAAAAACAAATGCAACAAGACATCAGTGTCATCAGTGCCATCACTAGTAGTAGTAGTAGTAGATTCATTACAGACACCAGTAGTAACAGCCGCGTGGTGTGGGACCTACACGAGTCAACACACCATGAGAAGCAAGGGCATTACAAACAAGGGCACCATACTAGTATATAAACTAAGAGTGTGCAACTTGGTGATCACTCGGCCCACGGGAGAGTGTTGTAAAGATGTACTGGTATAGTGGATGGCTACTGTGGAGTATTCGCGTGTTGAGAAATGTCACTCAGAAAGACGCAACAAAAGAACTCGGCCGCGTGTGTGTGTGTGTGTGTCCTTCGCAGCTCGAGATAGGGAGTGCACACTCTTGCTACATGCACAAGAAAGAGGTTGAAAAAGCAGTGAAACGAGCACTTGTATTCTAGTCATCCTTACCACACAAACCTCCCCAACCACGACCCCGGGCAGTGTACCAACACAGACTTTCTCGGCAATGAACAGTGCCTGCTGCTTCAGGGGGTAGGCGTTGCTGGTCGTGGACGATACGGATGGGGAGATGCTGCTGCGACGGTTTAATCGCACTGGCTTCGTTGTATGCTGCAGTGAAGAGCCAGGGTATCAGTCGCACGAGCGCATGTGCACACACGCACGCACACACACACACGCACGCGCACACACAAACACACACACACACACATCATGCTGTTAGCAGCCAGAATGTTCATGCTAGCAAGGATGCCAAGTATATGACGGTACAGATGAAAACCCAAGATAGAGAGAAGCACAACTAACCCTGATAGACGGGCGGCGAAAGTCATCACTTGAAGATTGAGTGGTAGATTCTATACACATAGCACAAGGTCAGAGAAAGGAGGGTATTGGAAAGAAACAAGAAGTGGACAGATTTCCTAAACAGCTCTCCCCCTCCCCAAAAAAAGAGTAAAAAATTCCCCTAATAACATGTACAATGTACTCTGAAGCACAACAAAAGGAAAGCAAGACCGGACCGCACAGCCCTCTCTGACCAAACAATGGCAGTACGGGGCAGACCCACCGATGCCCAGTACTATTCTAACAGAAACACTACATTATAATACCAAGTTCTGCAACCCTCAAACAATGGTGTGCAAGTGCAGCACCTCAACATACCCCCCAGTGCAGTGTGTATAGGCTAAACACATTCAATGGAGAGTGGTACGTGCACAGATAAAGTGGTAGACACAGTTCGTTGTCGATCGGTACTCACAAGAGACCCACAATGGCTGCACACACAATTAGGCCAAGACAACTACTCACCAACATCATTTTTTGGAGTCCCCTGACTGGTTTCGTCACCCGAACTGTCGTCCACGCAAACTGAACATGCACGCACACGCACACACACACACACACACACACACACACACGAGTCATAATCACATTGGACATACCGTAAAGTCTTGAATAAAAGCCGCGGCTTCTATGACTTTCTTGGTGAAAATTTGCAGGCTTCTATTATGTTCTATATGAGACAGGCTTCTATACAAGACAGGTATTTCTATTAGGGCTCAAACGATTAGTCCGATTAACCGGTTGCAGACCGGTTACGAAGAATTGACGGTTAACCGATAAAGATAACGGTTACGCAGTAACTTTTCAGTCAATTTTTCAAGTATCAGGTCGTTGCAAAGTGTGCACTTTCGCGGGCTGTCGCACGCGTACGCAATTTCTGGGCTGTCAACTCGGTCATATCTGGTCTCTTGGTGTGAGAGTATGTATGAATGAGCATGCAAGAGAATGTACAGGTGTGCGTTGCACTGAATAGGGTACATTTTTTGAATGAGTATAGTCAAATATACGGTTAAAAAAGAGTCCACAGGATTGCCGTGGCTTATAGGTTATAACCGGTTAACCGACCGTTAGCTTAGCAGTTAACCGTCAGGGGTAAAACCGTGACCGTTTGAGCCCTAATTTCTATGTATGTCAACAGACTCAACACTAAAACCAGGCTTATGTGTGATTTGATGGGCCCAAAATTGCGGCTTCTATTCGAGGGCGGCTTTTATACAAGACTACGGTACTTCTCACTTTGCACACAGAAAAAGACTACACGGCTACTGGCCTAGACTAAGAACTGGCAATAATAGAGATGTTAAGCTGCACGTTATCTTTGACGTGACGCGCACTTTCACATCAAATGGGCCATGGATTGGCATAAAATGCCAAATTTCGACGTGAGATACAGCTCTCGCGTTGTTTTCCAACGCTCGAGCCAAGTAACGCAAGCGGAACTTCTCCTTACACCGTCTGCACAAGATTTTCTGAGAGAGAGAGAGAGAGAGAGAGAGAGAGAGAGAGAGAGAGAGAGCAGTAGCCTTACCTGGATTCGTGGCTGACCTGCCGTCACGGCTTGCTGCTTTCCTTTTCTTGGCAGGAGGCGAGTACAAGGGATCTGCAACAGTTATAGAAGTAATCCAGCACACACACACACACACACACACACACACACACACGCACACACACACACACACACACACACACACACACACACACACACACTCCCTCTGATTAGCTAGTACAAGAAAAAGAACCTAAATAATACGACTGCTAATAGATACTATATACTATAATTTGTTGATGCCATCTTCATTAGGTCCGTTAATCTATAGTAGTGCCGGTAGATTGGTTCTTGTGACCAGACAAGACAAGACCAGACCAGACCAGACAATGCTTGCAGGCACCAGCACGGACACTGCACCAGCCACACTCCCTTGTGACCAGACAAGACGAGACCAGACAATGCTGGCAGGCACCAGCACGGACACTGCACCACTCACCCTCCCCAACAGGTAGAAGTTGCTCCTGACAAGCCTTGCTTTGTTCCATTTTGATGTACATTATGTACACTCAACTAACTACTTATCACATGTGACAAATCAACACGAATGAAAATAGTGTAGAATGGAGGTGTTGTGAACTCTATCGACACAACTATCAAAGGTGCTAAGTCAATCACAGGGAGAAATAGAGGTACACAGAATAGGCTGCGCTAAAAACTACACTTCACAAAGTATACTGACATGGTGACAAAGATGGGTGCAAAGTAGAAGCCGAGTGACTGCCAACAACATCATTTTGGACGTCTAACGTCACATTCGAAAGTTGCCAACTGCACAAGACAAATACTTCACGAACCTCGAAACTTAGCTGACGTTGGGTAGAAAGGAGCAGGTGGTGCAGTGGCAAACTGTGAGATGCTAAAGCGACGTATCGAATCTTGACTACAGGGTTGGCGTCTGACGCTATAATCCTTGCAGCAGATCATCCTTCTTCACATCACATCACATCTTTCTACCCAGCGTCAGCTAATTTGTCGAGGCTCGTGAAGTATTTGTCTTGTGCAGTTGGCAACTTTCAAATGTGATGTTAGACAACATCAAAATGATGTTGTTGGCAGTCACTCGGCTTCTACTTTGCACCCATCTTTGTCACCACGTCAGTATACTTTGTGAAGTGTAGTTTTTAGCGTCACCTATTCTGTGTACCTCTCTTTCTCCCTGTGATTGACTTAGCACCTCTGATAGTTGTGTCGGTAGGGCTCATAACGCCTCCATTCTACACTACTTCATGCGTGTTGATTTGTCAGATGTGATAGTTAGTTGAGTGTACACACATTGCGTCTATATCTTCTATAAAACATCACTAATAGTTCAACCCCTTTCATTCAATATCTGCCTCTCCTCTGGTGAGTTCCCGTCATCATATTGGAACGAAACAAGGCTTGTCAGGAGCAACGTCTAGCTGTTGTGGAGTCTGACTGGTCCAGTGTTCGTGCCGGTGTCTGCAAGCGTCGCGTGGTCTCGTCTGGTCACAAGAAAAATCTACCACTGCTACACACTATAGCTAATTTGCCACGACCTTACCCAGCTGTTCAAAGAGCAGTGTGAAGTGGTGCCTGCGTGGTGTGCCTGGAGGCAGCAGTGGTGCAGGGTTTGCGTTAGGCCCTGGTGCAAGCGTGTGCCACCCCGTTGCACAGGCGACGAATGACTTCACATTGCTTCACCAGGTGACCATGGTCGGCAAAGTAGATACAATGAATACAGTGAAATCTGATGGTTTGCGTTGAGCATGCGGGGCCGGGCCACGTGCAGCCCTAAACATGCAAACACAGAGCTGTGAGCTGGCGCGGGGCGCAAACTTGACTCACACGATCGGATTTCATCGAGCAGACATGTACATGTATGACAAGCAATGCACTGTGATAGCATTCATGCCAGCTGCACTGGATGCAGCATTCAAAAGCACGCCGCATGTTGGCGTCACGCTCCGTTGCTGTTTGCCACGGCAGCAAGCCAACGCAGGGGACAACAACAAACTCAAAAATGGCTGAAGACGTCTGCGCAATGACAGCTGGCAATGGATAATGTGCTTGGAGGACTTTCGAAAGAGGACATGTGCACCCTTGTGGAGATACGGAGAGGCAAAGCAGACCAGTAGCAGCAAGTACGACAGCAGAGTGCCCGGCGAGGAAAGATCGCTTCAGCAGTAAACGGCCCACGAAGGCTTGTCTGCATGTAACACATGGGTAATTTTACCCCAAATGCATCATACTCTTACCACAGTTTTTTCGTGAAAACACAATTTCCTTATTGCATTTCATGTAAAAGAGGAAGGACAATATGTATGTGCACAATGTCATGTCTCCGCTGAAGCATTGAACGCATTGCCACTAACCCTCTCTGGGCGCCGTTAATTTAGGTCTTGATGCAGTCTTGAGCAGGGAGTGATGTTTCCTACTGTTTGCCTACGTAAGCGAGCACACAGAAACAGCGCCAGAAGCAATAGCAACACATCGATGGAAACGGTAGCCATAGCAGCATCAGTGACATTAGGGAGGTTCCGGAGTACGATTATTCGTGCCAAAATCCGTAGAGGAGCTACGGATTTTTTATACGTCGTTTTCGAGAAGTGAAATGTTCCGGAGTACGGAACTTATGTGTTTGCCGTCATTGCCTAGGTTACGATCGCAAACACGTCACATTCCCGCGCTATGCCTTTTTATTTTGAAAATTTGTACCGAAATAAAACTTCCCGCGGAAAATCCATGTTTCTTGTACCAAATTTGTACGCGAAAAATCTTTCTGCACCCGATGACGCAAAATCTCCATACGAAACATGGTTCGTGTGAAAGCCAGTCCACACGGATTCTCCGTGCCGAAAAATCGTACGGAGCACGCCTGGAAAAATCTGTAGCGCCCACACGGATTTTGGCACGGAAAATCGTACCCCGAAACCTCTCTAATGACAACAGTACCCGTAGCAGCAGCAAATGTGAGAACACAGGTTCAATAGTTCCAGGAAAGAGAGAAGAGAAGAAGACTGAGTGACGAATCACAGCAAAACAAAGGAACAAACAAACCCCACCATCACGCACGCATGTGCACGCACACGCACGTGCACACTCAAACACACACACGGACACACACACACACACACACACACACACACACACACACACACACACACACACACACACAAGCACGTCTGCACACATATATACGAGCATGCAAGCAAAGGGTGGAAGTGTGATTGTCTCCGCCATTACGCAGGAGGTAACCCGTACCTGTGATGCTTGTACGCAGCGCAAGCCGTGAGCTGAAAGAGTCCAGAGTGAATAAGGAAAGGTGGACAAAGAAGCACACAGACCAATACACTCAACAAAGATTGCTACAGGACCAGCCAGCACAATACTCACCGACTATTAAGTCTAAGAAGTGCTAAGGTTGAAACAATCACAACTAAGCCACGCAGCGGAAACAAGAGCTAGCATTAGGGCACCAGTACATGTAGCCACGCTTGCATTAGCAACATAGCACCTGGTCAATTTTTGCATTTCGCATTTCGTTTGCAGATCAGCAGAATTCGCCAGCTTGGCCTTGTCTTCGCCACCATGGAATGTAAATGTATAGGCCTAGCTCTACAACAGTGGCACTATACTAGTAAAATGAACTACGACTTACAATCTGCTTTCTTGGCGACGCTCAGCAAGTTCTTTGTAGACATGAACGCATGGAGAGACATGCAAAACACACACACACACACACACACACACACGTGCACACACACACACACACACACACACACACGCACGCACATATGTACACGTACACACGCACACAGAGTTTACAAAGCAGAGTGAATTGAGCCATGGATCCGATAAAGCATGCTAGCCAAGAGCAAAGCTATCAGAATTGGGCATCGGCCCTTTGTGAAGGCCGTCATACACTGGCGTACAGATGAGGGCATGCAGTGTATGGTGATCTCGCATGCCGACGAACAATCAGACTGGATTCTCCCAACTATAATTATACACTGTGTTTTCTTGCAGGATTCCTGGGTGGTAGGTTTGATGGAATTCTCGTGTGCTCTGGACGGGAGTCGTGAGTCAGCCAAGCGCCAGACGGCAGGAGAAGCGCGAGCTCCCACGTAGGGAGCAACGCACAATTCCTCTAATATCGCCGGTGTGGCTACCTCTACGTTGTAAAACGTAACATGAGATATAATCAGCACTGGTACATGTATTGACTGACATTGGTACGGACGTTGTGCTACCCATGAATATAGCGCAATTCAAAACCAAAGGGAACTACTTCTTTCGCTGTCACCGTCAGGATGAAGTACCGTTTCGCATGCTGCCCACCGGTCAAGGAGAGCGCCCTGAGCAGTCCTGTAACTCGGAGCTCTAAAGTCTAAACACAAGCTCCTGACTGATCTTCGGCCACTGCGGATGGCTCACAAGGGCCCGTACAGTATCTCAGGCATCCTAGAAGCCCTGGAACTGAGTACTGGTGCACAGCAGTGATGAGGGCATGTACTCCGAGTAGAACAATACAATTTTCGTTCGTTTGCCACTAAGATCCGTCAACAAAATAGAACAATTTCTTGCGCAGCCTTTACTACTTAGTACTTACCGAATTAACTGAGTTAAACTTCTCAAAGACACCCTTGTCTGGGTGCGTAAAGGGGGGAAGGGCACCACCGGTGGGCTTTGTTTGACCATTTGCCACAAACGTGAGCTCAGGCATCTGCAAGAACATAGACGGGAAACCGAGATACGTGTATATCGAAACAGCCCAACAGTAGAACATTAGTTTGCTGCAACTCTGAGCATGAAAATCAGAAGCAGTAGCGCCGTTGAAAGGTATTCCACATTGTTGGCCATGAAGAGACGGGGAGGGGGTGGGGGATGTGGGCCCTCCTGGGAAATATTTTTTGGAAATTGGGCCCAAATAGCCAATATTTCATTGCTTCAAAAATCACAAGATTATTCAAAGCCGCACCTTCCGGCACTGGTCCCGATAGACATACACTAACAGGTACGCATGCACGCATGCAGGGAGATTAGAGCAGAACTGCTTGCTTCCAGTAACACAGGCAGGCAGATAGAAGAAGAACACCGTGAACACAAAACTGTCAATTAGACAGTACATGTAGCAGAAAAAGCAGATGCATTAGAAGTTTCGTAACACAAACAACGTGTGCTGGGGATATAGCTCATTCCAGGAAAGAAAAGTGAAATGAACAACAGACAAACCTGATGGCGTTGCCGGTCATCAGTGATTGTGCGACCTGAAAAAAAGCGCAAAGACAACAGCTACTTAGTTCAACTGTGATCAATTGAATTTCAATGAGCAATCGAATGAAGTAAGTAATAGTTGGAGTGGTGAGGCTCCCTGCTGCTTATAAAGTAGGTTAGAGCAGAACTGCTTGCTTCCAGGAACACTGCCACTGCCACCGTCCAACTCATGTCCACCATACTGGCAAGTTTCACAACGGTTCGGCAAAATTGCCATCATGAAGTTTGCATTGGCGCACAAGCTCACAAACGGACACTTATACTGTATAACGCTGCGCTGAAGCTGCTACATCGCACTTGCTGTGACAGGCTCGCTATGGTGCAAATGAAAGAGGATAAAAACTATTTAAAACAACACAAACATGCAGTGCCACATTCACAATGTAGTAAAACTGTAATAAATTCATGCAAGTCAACAGTACTAACTACCTTCATACAGAGAAAACAACAACAACATGCGCCAACACAACAGTGCCAACCACTGCGTACGATGCAGCAACCCGTGTCAAATATCACCTAAGTTATATAGTGTAAACTCGGAAACATTTGTGATCCGGAATCTTTCGCGGTTTTCGCGATGGGTGTTAAATTGCAAAAGTAAGCCGGCGCAAAACATAGAAACTGTAGCAAAGAAACTGAGGAAATAGACTCCAAATCGCAAACATCTCCAGGTGCAAATTTGTCTGTGCTCGCAAATCGCAAACTAAAACCGGCGCAAAAAAAACATTTCCCGGTTTAAAGTAGAGTAAGCACAATAATTACACTGCATTGCAGTTTGCTTTTGCACCATAGCTAGCTAGCCTGTCACAGCAAGGTGCAATGTGGGAGCTTCAGCAGAGCACTATACAGTTTACTCTCAGATGTGAGTGAGAGGTTGCACGGATCTACAACATAACTCCGTTATGATACGGCGTTAGCCAACCTAGCCAAGGTTCTTGTCCGTTTGCCATCAGGAGAAAATGCGTTGGAAAAGGTTTCAGAAAAAAACCAACAACAACAGCAAAGGCAACATTCGTATGCAATAGCATTTCAAACACACCAAAACTGTTCCAAGGCTACCGCTTACCAAGCGATGTCACTGCACCTCGGGTTGCCTTCGTTCCAGAGGCTGGCGAGGAGAGTCAAGGTCTTTTAAAACGTTGAGCAATCTTTCAGAGAAAACAAAATCCCGTCACAAAATGCCCCGCGGCACGTGCACAGCGGAAATAGAAGCATACTTTAAAAACGTTTTATGAACAGATAACATAATCACTCAACGAGAACCTTTGAGCAGACATACTCTTTCCCTCAGCACTGCAAATTCAGTACACAATCAGTCTCAACGACGTTTCGGCCAATTGCCATCCTCCGCCAATGATGGCAATTTGCCAAAACGTCACCAATTGAGCTGCAACGCTACAGGATGCTCACCCCCTATTACGTAGATGGATTGCCAGCTTTGAAGGGACGGAAAGAGGACAGAATGCATGAACTTTTAAATACCACAACGGCAGGTACGATAGCAGTACAGTGTAAACAATGCCAACATCGCACTAATACGCATTCACACGTCAACAACGCTCTAGCATTCTGCACAATAATAGCTAGCCCAGTGCTTTCGGACCTGAACACCCTGCTGAGTGCACGATCCACATTCTGGTAGAGCGTTTAAAATTCTTGAGAAGTGCAATGGACGCCACAAGCCGAACCACACTGCTCTGGACCGTGTTCACATGCCGGGCTGAACGTTCATGCACAGAAGCTCACAACTACCCTACTCATAACATGCCGCCTGTAAAACAATAAAATCCACGTGCTGAACTCTCCGAACTCTCCGGCGTGCTTTTTAAAGAAGCGAGACGATTTTTTCAGTACATGTACACAAAAACACGCTTCACTCAGAAGAAAGAAATGAAGACTTCACTGCAGTTGCATTTACGGTTTCTAACCAGCCATGCATCGACCGGGTGGTGATGGCGGTAGTAAGGAGAGCTCTGCGCCACAGTGTAACTTTGCAGCTTAGAGAGCGTGTGTGGGCAGGCGTAGCACGGACTTTCCGCCATTTCGACAGGTGTGCCTTTTAAACCATCATATTATTCAAGCACAACACATGCAACCGACGCTATTGGTACACCAAAGCAGCATTTGCAAGGAAGACAACTAAGCATTCCTGCAGCACACTGGTGTCCAAGACCTGTCTCATTCTCGGTCAGGCACGTAAGAAAACAGACACACCATAAAAAGGATACCAGTTTTCTTCGCTGAACTCGACCAATTCTTTGCCAGATTGAAACGATCCTTGCTACTGCGGGGGCACAAAAGTAATTGACACACCAACACAAACATGGGCACGCACACTCTCAACAATGCACTGAAGCTATCATTCAGTGTCACAGACCGTGTACTATTTCGAAGTATTAGTATCTCCACAGTCCAGAGCCGCCAGCCAATTGTACACTTTTCTTCATGGAGTGCTTTTCTTACTGCTCTTTCGCTCGCTAAATCTGTCATGGACACATACAAGGAGGGCACCTCGGCACGTGATGTGAGTTTCCGCCGTCAGCACAACCTATAGCATATCTACGTGGTGCTGCACACTCCTGAGAGGGGCTGTGGGCTCTCGGTATGATGTTTCTAACACTGTACGTAGGGTGATATTCGCATAGCTGCACGAGGTGTACCACCACAGCACTACACCACATCCAGGTATGTTCCAGGTTATTCGAGCGGGACAGATTTACCCCTCTCACGCTCTGCATCAGCCAAGATAGTGTCACGTGCGGATTAGTCGGCCACGCAATTTTATGGCATGTTCACTTGACACTCGCAGTCTAGCATAAGTTCCGCATTGACCTCGCATAATGAATGATCTGAAAGCATAGCAGTACCGTGCAGTCACTAGACTCACTACATTATAGTGCTCCACGTTTCCAATGGAAGTCTGCTGATGACACTGTGGGTAGCGGCTGATCGGCATACAGTGAAGCGTGCAAAGGTCTGACGTGCCTCACTCGGTACCAAGAGTAAATAAGCTCATGAGAGTGTGCAACTCTGCATGTGGGGTCTCCGACGGAGAAATCTCACTTCACGTATTCGAAGTACGAAGTGCAGTATGCGCAGCGAAGGCCAGCGTGTGTGCAGTCCGAATATCTGCAATGACCCTGCTGATGACTCGCATAAGCTGAGTGGGTTGCTGTCTGGAAATGGAGTTCTTTAAAACTTGCCATAGTTCTCGCAAAAAATGATGCATAATAGAGAGGTTCCGCACTAGGTAAAGTTGAGCAACCTTACGTAAGTGAGCGGGAAAAACCCATGAATTCGCGAGTTTGCAATCCACTCACGGAAAGTTGCCTACGTGGAGTACGTAAATGGAGCTCTGCTAAAGGAGGTGATCCGTAAGTGGATAGGGGTATAAATGGACGACTCTCTCCCCAGGCCGTGCACTGTCCCCTTTGGAGTTGACAAGGGCCGCTACGTGATTCGAAAACTCCGTGTGGCAGAACACGTATCCGCATGCGGTGTACGTATACGTTAAGACTTTCCGTAGATCGATAACGACTTGTACTAATGCAATTACGTTGTGCTGAACCTCTCTAATATCTCATGCACTATCATAACACTTAGTATTCTTATTGTCCAAAATACATAAAGCCAGCCACTAAATCGGGCTGTTTTACCATGTGGTGCGGCGTCTTCCACTCCTGCACATCGAGTGAAGCAACACTACCCTTATACTAAGTAATAGGCGATTCAGACTACGGCCAAAATCAAGTCTCAAATTGAATTTCCATGGTGATGCAGTCGTGTTTCAAATGATACTGTACAGTCGCTGATCAAACACGTCTGAGTCGTAGAAACGTGGTCACAGTTGGCCGTAGTCTGAATAGCTTATTACTGTATTAGCCTATAACGTGTAAAATAACGTGTTCACAAATGAATGACACCTACATTTAATTAATACTTACTTTATATCTGAAAAGCCGCTGCGAAACCCATGATCAGTCTTTTCTGCTGAGTTTCCAAGTGCTACATAGAAATTAGGCCAGCAAGTCGGAAACCAAATACCAATATATTCAGCTCACCTAATAAGTAAGTACTTAGAACAAGACCTCAGCTATTTCTTCCAAAAAGAACACACACACACACCATACCATCAACAATCGACTTTTGATTGGCCGCCATCCTCAACGTTTCTACAAACTATTTCATTAGTAAAATCACTGGCGATCAGAAGAAAGCACAACACATCAGGGCTGGCCTCGGTCTCTTTCCTACAGCTTTGTTTGACGCGGCAGTGCCAATTACTTCCAAAAATTCTGGCCATGGAAATCAGGTGAGGGATTCCCTTTTTTCGTGCTTTGCGTGGACCTGATCTGGGTGTGTTGGAAGTCCATATTTTATGGACTCTTGTCTTGATGAACGCGTGCACGCGTGACGGTGCAGCTGTGTGTTTCTGTTTCCGCGGGAAAATAGCGAGGTTTTGCATTCCGAAATTCGGCAAAAAGATTCGGCACGCGGGAGCGAGGTCGAAAATGCACACGAAGTTCGAAGATTCGGATATTCGGCGTGTTTGTTCGGAAAAAGCTCACTTTGCCGAAAATATTTTTCGATGCATTTTCTTGTAGAAGAGCGCTAGCGCGTGATTTATTCAAAGAGGTTTCTTATTTCGGCATCGCTTGGCAGGCGTCTTTGGCGACAAAGCATCGTCAGCTACCTCTGATTGCTCCTCTCCACTGCCTGTCTACTCTCTTTCGCCTGGAGTGTCCTCACCGTCATCTGTGTGGCTGAAAAGACTATGCCGACACGCATAAAATTTGACTTGGCCATGGAGTTGGTTTTTCTGAGGCGACTGAGGAGGCAGGTTTGGCCCTCGACTCTTTGGGCGATCAAAGACTAAGTTCGTTGGAATGAGCAAGAAAAGGAGCACGGGATAGGACGTTGCTGATGCTGGGGCTCACGAAATGAAAACACATCATTTTCGACTTGCAAAACAAACGTTGGTGCGAAAATTCGACTTTTTGATGTTCGACAAATGACCGAAGAACGCTGTACCGAAATTCGGAATGCAAAACCTCATAATGCAGAGAAATGTTTCGATGTCGGAAAAACTGTTTTTTTTTTGTAAAAATTAATTATCAGGGCCATATGCATAATATGCTCCGCGGCGCTAGCGCGCTGCTAGGATACTACAGTAAGATCGGGCGCCGAAGAACGCAGGGGCTCGAGCGCAGCCTAGGAAAGTTCTTAAATTTTTGATTCTAGCCAGACCGTTCCTAATAATCTTATTCACGCGGCGAGTCGAGTGACGTCATGACGTTTGTCATGTACATGTACGCGTACATGTACATGTACATGTAGTGCAATGTAGTGTACTTCTAAACTAGTGGTAGTAGTGCCTAGTCACGGCTGTTAGCTGCACTTGGATCGCGGCAACTTAGTTTTCTGCACGTGAACCATGAAAAATCAATGCATGCTCATGCATGTTCATGCATAACCAGTCAGCTGGCCTGCTCGCCCACGCATTTGACAGGTAACAATTCCATCAAATTTGAGATATCGCTTCGTTCTAAGTCTCAAAACAGTTCTAAAGTCACCAAACCACGCTGGTAATCGATGGCTATTCAATGTTAACATCTTCAGGAAGACTTCAGCCGTTTCCCGAGAGTTTGGGCATCGTTGCCGTTATTTTTCATGGTGTTCTTCTTCCTCCTGTCTGGAGCTGCAATTGCATCCTGGAATTATTTGAAAGGTATTTCGTGCGGGCTGTGGGGGGTTCCAACAGGCATAAACTGACATCGCTATAGGATAACTGGTAACTTTCACCCTTCAAGGAGGTAGAGCAATGAGAATTTTTTTGTGGCGGTCGTCCAATTTTTGTGGCGGTCGTGGCTGTATTTGTGCACTTCCAAGGCTTTCATTCTGCCTGATACTACTCTCTACTGTATGGGAATCGTTGTTTAGGCGCCTGTAGCTGTCTTATTTGGTAGATCTGATGTTTTCAATCACTTGAGACACTTTGTCTAGCCTATTTGTCTTTCGTTCGTGCCATCTATCAGTTTTGTGGGGTGCCTTGGCCTGTATTTGTGAAGTTCTCGAGTAAAGACCCTAATTCTTGACTGGAGTCACGACTTGAATTGTAATTGCTGGGCGAGCCCTCGTTCACGCAGTTGTCCTTATCGTAATAGTCAATATCTGCTTGCTGGACGGACTAGCGGCTAGAATAGGGATGACCAAATGGTCCAAGTGTGTACTAGTACACGATTATTGTTTCCATCATCGTGAAATGAGCGTTGTGGAATTGCAGTCGTCTGCCTTTGGCACTGAGGACATGAGGAGAGTTGATTGTTACTTCTGCTCAGCAATGAAGCGATCATCAGCTCTCTTTGTTCTAATTATTGAGAGGACATACCGGCATCGCAATCAAGTAAAGATTAGGCAAACCTCGCCAACCTCCAAAGAGAGTCGAAGATATTTTCTCCAAATGCAAAGACGATCTTTGTGAGTTTATGACTTGCATTTGCGTGCATACATGAGCAAGTCACGGACCACGGCACGTGCGCGGTTACCATGCCATCTTGAACCGACGCCATCTTTCTAAGTTGCCGCTTCTTGACAGCCGTGTAGTGGGTGTCGTAAAATTTAATACTGACTGTACATGTAGCTTTTTTTTTACGGGGTAACGGCCTCTTTTACGGGCAAAATGAAGTCATGTAGACGTGAAAAAAATTGAGATACCATGAAAGTTAAAAGCAGTTATGTTTACACGTGTACATGACATGTACTCACCTCCCATACATGTACAATGTAGATCTACGTACAATGTAGATCTAGTGTTCTTAAATCTGATAATTCTAGCCTGGACTGTTCTTAAATTTTGCCGGTTTTCCAGCCTGGGTGTTCTTCGGCGAGGTGTTCTTCGGCGCCCGATCTTACTGTATACCAGGCGGGGCTAGGGCACTATTTTTATAAGTACATGATGTGCAGATATCGACGCCGGCACGCGTCCGAGTGCAGTAATACATTTATCGCACCCCTAGCCCTGCCACCACACAGTCTGTCACCACCCACTTGACACAGTCTGGTGCAACCCTAGCATGCTGCATGCAACCCTGCTATCATTAATTTTCACAGACTGTCAGTCATACAACACAGCAGTCAGCACAACCAGTCGCGTTCATTTTTAGAGGAACAATTCTTTCGAGTAGCTGCAGTCTATACTGTCTATACGGGAGATCCTGGAAGTAGCGGGACAGCTTGCTCATGTCGTCGTCGTTGATGGGGTGTTTGTGCTCCACCGCTTTGACTTCTCCCGCTTTCTTTGGCTTCATGAGGAAAGCCTTCAATGCAATGTTTGCGTCCTTGAACGCTGGGTCACTGTGGACGTTCATGGGCAGCTTCAACTCGACTAGCTTGCGATGTATTGCGGAACGGAAACCGAGCAAGCTTGATGCAGAGTAGAACTTCACTCCAGCTTTCTCCGGACGGAATTCGACGTATGCATGTCGCAGAATGTAAGCTAGGTCGCTTGCCGTAACCGTACTCAGGTCACAGCGACGTCCCGGCTGTGTCCTTACAATACTCGTCGAATAAGCGGAGCCATTTGTCAGTTGCCTGCTCTGTGTTTTTGTTTTTCGGCTCAGAAACGAGGCTGTCGATGGCGGCGTCGGACAGTTTCTCAAATCGGCTGTCGACAGTCTTCTCCAATACTTGGGCGTCTGCTGTCTCGACTCTCACGGAGCTTGTGAAGTTAGTTGACTTGGCGGACGCAAGCCGGGTCCACATTCGCTTCCGCGACAGCGTCCTCGACCAGCAGCGACTCCAGTCTCCAGGCTGGCGGAGCGGCCCCAGTACACCATGCATGGTACACCGCCAGCAATGAATTTTTATATTAAATGGATGCACTGCAGTGCGCATGCGATATTGCACCCCGGCGAGTGAGCGTGCAAATAACCTACATGTATATCTGCACGCTCACTCGCCGGGGTGCAATATCGCACTGCAGTGCATCCACATTGGCTGGCGGTGTACTGGGGAATATTGCACGCTCAGTAAGGCCGCTGATTGGCTCAAACCATGGAGACACTCACGTGGGGTGCGATAAGTAGGCATACTTATAGGAATACAGCACTGACTGTACGTAGACCTATGTATTACTGCACAAGGACCAGTGCAATACCCTGTCCCAGGGGAAAATTGCGGAAAAAAATCGCAAAAAACGCGGGGAAAAACGCGGCATAATATGGCATAATTTGCGGTGAATTTGCGGTAAATATGCGGTGAATAATATTGATGTGCGGCAATTTTCAGTGAGTATGTAGTGAAATCAATCAGTTACAAGTCTCTGGTGTAAGCACTCGTCATATTTGAGTAAAAAGCCGCCACGATGAGACGTTGCTGACCGAACATGTACAGTGCACTGTGTGTACGTGTAGTGCAACAAAAAAGTTCAAAAAACGCGGGAAAATCGCGGAAAACGCGGTCTTTTAAAAAATCGCAAAAAACGCGGAAAAAAACGCGGCTGCGGAATCGCAATTTTCCCCGGGGCGGGGACAGAATACCGGCCGATATCTGCACGAACGGCGAAGCCGTAAGTGCAGATATCGACGCCGGTATTGCACGCGTCCGCGTGCAGTTGTTGTTGTTGTTGAAATTTTATTTTGTATCGTAGACCAAACGGGCAATGGTGCCCTATATTATGATGGCGATAAAGTAATGGCCGAGAGCCAAGGATACAACAAGCAAGCCTCCACGAAAGAGAGAAAAACACAGAAAACACAGACTGCAAATACTCAAAAAGAAAAAAGAGAAAGGGAAAAAAAGAAAAATAAAGAAGAAGAAAGCACAGTTGAGTCACAGTTGAGTCACGACTCCAAGTCCAAGCCTAGATGCTGGCTAACCATAAAAATAAACCTTTAAAAGTCTCTTGAATGATCTATGGCAGGCGAGGGACTTGAACTCTTGGGGCAGGGCGTTCCATAATTTAACAGCAGAAACGAGCGGCCGACAGTCACCAGAGACTCGCCTGGTGGCAGGGACAACATACGCATTTGGATCGTTGATCCGAGTGACGCCTTCAGTCTGGCGACGTAGGCGCTTGGACAGGAGATTACTAATTCTGGCGGTGTGGATACGAAGCATGAGGAGGCGGAGTTTACAGTGGGCGTTTTGGATGATGGGGATGAGGCCTAGACGGGTGTAGATGGGATCTGTGTGGGAGGGGAATGGCTGGTTGGCAACGCAGCGGATACATCGCTTGTCGAGGACCGAAAGCTGATGCCGTTGGTGCGCAGAGAGAACCGAGAAGAAGGCATTAGATCCATACAACATATCCG